ACTTTTCGTTGTTGACTTACACGGAACTCTTCTGCGGCAGAAAGCTGTGCAGGTCGCTCTGGTTTGGGAGGATCTGGTATTCTTGACTTCATAGGAATTCCAGCAGCTGGGCGACCGAAGCTAGCAGAAGGTCCTACTCCAGGAATTTTAGAACCTCCAAAGGCCGGTTTACTGAAGGCACTTCCCATCCCAGGTCCAGGACGCCATGATGTTGCAGGAGCCTTGGGCTGCGCAGGCGGAGTTGATTCATACTCTTCGGATTCTCGTACCGCAGTACCTTCGGCTGGTGGTTTTGATCTCGAATCAGAGGATTGTAAAAATCGACGCTGTGTATGTGAAGTAGGGCCAATTCCTCCAAGTCGATGCCAACAAAAAGCGCATACTGATGGAGCTGATGTTTCCTATGTTGATTAGAATATCATAAAACCTTATATGATTTGAGTTCCATACCTTTGTTAAATTGCGACCCCTCCTCATGATTGCATTGTCGTTTCAATGAATGTTTAAATAATTTTCATAAAGTTGCCATCATAATGATTGAAGGAATTTACGGATACCGAACCACACTAACTACGCAATTTTATATTCCGAGACATTGTTCCAGCCCTTCACATTCACAGTCCATACAAATTAAACTTCACAACCACATAATTTCCAATACATTCTTGTATCTACGGATCATTATGCCTCCCAAAGCGAAGTCCAAGAGGACGTTTAATACTACCTCTGCTAAAAGATCATCCCCAACCACTTCAGATGAACCGCCTGCCCCCTTTACACGGCCTCCTCCAAAGCTTCAACCATTCCTAGAGAAGCTCTCGAAGTATCACATTTACATCGCGCATATCGACAAACATCCCGCAGATCTCAAAAAGAAGATCTTCTTGGTTCCGGTGCTTATGAATGTTGCAATTGTTGTAGGGCTCCTATGGCGCGCTTCTACTGTCTTCCCCTTTTACATGAAGATTTGTTTTTCGATGATGGGGAATTACAATGAGACAACCATTGAAACTCACAAGATACCATTGAATGATACAGGATACGAGATTTTACGTCGTGCTTCAATATTTATGATCGATCTACTTCTATATATTTTCGTTTGGCCATGGCCTAGAGATTTCTTTCTGGGAAGAACGATTGGTAACCCGGTGTCATGGAGATTAGGAGTGGGTTTCCGCGAAACAGAGATTATTGTGCGCCGTAGTAGAAAATGGGATCAAACAATTGGGGATTTCTTAAAGGAAGACAATGAAACGGGAAAAGAATTAATGTCATCGAATGTCAGAAAGGCGATTGAGCCATTATGGTTGTCACAAAAGACCGGATATTTGATGTTGAACAGCGAATGGGATTTGGATTGGAAAGCTATGATTCAGGCTACAAAAATGGTGGATAAGAAGACTATGGATCTTCAAGATTTCAAGACGACTGTTTTCGCATGGCACGCAGCTTATGGATGGATGATTCAAACAGAGGCTCCTATCGACCCAAATAGTAAGGAAGAGTTGGGAAGGAAGAAAATAACAGCTTTCAAGGATGAATTGACACTGATGGGGAAGGAAAACCTTTTCTTCAAATGGATTGAATTGGTTCAGTTCGAATCATCGAAACCGGAAGGGTTTGGTCCAGAGCAACAGAAGGCCACAATGGAGAAGGCCAAAGCAATGTTCGAGTCACAAGGAGTCGACTTTGAAGCCTTTTGGGCAAAGATTGGTGGAACTGAAGGGCTTCCTGGAATGGATTGATTTGCTCTGGAGATTCAGATGATACCCTATAGAACAAGTGATACATTTTCCACCAAAGGCATGAATAAGTATACAAATGAATACGCAGTGATCCGAATACAACATTCTGATCAAATTGATAGGTTCTTGCTATCAATGGGGTACGGTAGAGCTACGCTCCATACACAAACCCCAACATACACAAATGTTGGTTACCAAACATGATGCTGATGTACCTCTCAAAATCCTAGTTTCTACAAGTGTAGAAAGGATGATGACAAGTGGTACTTGAATTATTTTTGAATTACTGGCATCACACTGCTTTATTTCCGTCTACATCCAGTAATCGTGGTTTTTACACTGCGGTTACATGAAAAGTAGCATTCTAGTCGATTATTTGATTCATTTGTTTGGATTACTGAAGTAGATTTGATACACCATTCTCAACTTTCGGAAGCGATCGACATCATGCTCCTGCCGAAACCTGTTCTTCCCTTACATTCGAAATATATCCGCCTCTGAAAGGGGGTTCCACGCCCGACAGCCTAGGAAAGTTTTATGGTTCTCCAACGCAGCAATTCATCTTACAGCCCATATACTTTTCCTAGGTCTCTACTACATCCCAAATTTACACGTCAAAATTCGGAATGGACAAATCGCAACGCCATGATCAAGGAATATACCAGATTGCTCTCCGCCTTGTCATATATGTCAAACTTACACTACCTCTCTCAATCGATCCAGGGGCAGAAGGAGATCGATATCTAATAATCAAAGCATGATCAAGACGATTTATGGTGATATTCTTGCCATTGCTCCCGTCATACCAATTATGATTGGAGGCACATGACATCCAAAATTATTCTGATTCGACAAGTAAGAAACCGTCGTTTCACACTTCGACGGGGCCTCATTCATATCCGGATCTAGTCAAATATTTGAATGGTCAGATGCGGCTGAGCTTCTCATCAAGCACAGTGCTAAATATACACTGCTTGTCTAATGCAGCCTTGTCGGCGATTCCGCTTTGTAATTTTCGATGGCTTTCCGGGACGGAGTTAATGCATACAAAGCATCTTGTTTATTTGGGTCTCTCTCCATCTGAAATCGTCATTTCGGGAGATTCTGCTGGAGTAAACATTGCGGTTGTGTTGTTAAGACATGTTTCGGAGCAGAAATCAGATGGTGGTGATGATTATTTCTTACCCAATCCTGTCAGTTATACATTGTGGGGTTCATCTATTGATCTCCCGTCTCAAACTTGTGCCCATATCGATACGCATCGGGATTACATAACAGATTACCTAGCGGGCTTCACATTAGAATGGGGGATCAATCTCTATTTCCAAGACCCAATGGAAATCGCGGATTCTTGGTTCTCGTTACTACTCTATTCATTTCCCAGCCAGTACCAATATGGATGGTGGCTGAAAGCCAGAGGGAGCCACTTAGCAATCCACTCATTAAGTTTGCTGCGGAGATGAAGGAAGTAGAAGGTAATAAAGTGGAGTTGCATGAATTTCGAAGTACACCTTATGACATTCTCCTCGTGGGGAATGAAATGGGATGACACAAAGAAGCAATGAACGCGGCAACTGCTGCAGATCGATTTTTGGGCTTCTCCGGGAAACTTGCCAATTCTTGGTAATATAGGGATTTAAATTGATGGATTGACTGATAGCCTAAAGTACAGCCAACGAAATTTTGTAACGTGGTTCACTTGATGGAAGTTACGTGCAGAGGCTGGAAAAGGTGAGTGGACCGTATCGCTCCGAGCTTTCGAAACTTTCACCCTTGCCATAATGTTTGGAAGTGATGAGTATATCAGAAAGTAAAATTCCACATGTCATCATTGTTGAAGTTATTATTGTATCTTGTCTTACCAATCCAGATGTGATTGGAATTTTCAAAATCATGCATGTTCCTGATCTGCCTCTGTAGTTTAGAAGCAAGTACTCCACGATCTGTCCCGAGGTCATTTTTTCTTGTCCTAGCCTCTTCTTCTGATATTCTTTCGACATTCTGATTAGCTATTGGTTTTGTTCCTTACAGTTTTTCTCGTCAGCTAATGCCGATCCAAAACTCTAATGGTGTTCATTAACATTACTATCATCCAATCAAAATTCATCACAGCTCTTTCAAAGTTTTTGTTGCATATCTATGACCTTTTTCTATAGGCCACATTCTAATAAGAAGCGTTCGACTAGTATTCGATAGCCTTGGTAATCTAATTTTATAAGTCACTAAGACTCGAGTACCGTCATTCCCACATCCCTATGACCAAATCACATTTCATTTACACTTCTGTTACAAACTAAGATGACGATGAAGAAATCCATCCTAACAAACTTGTAAATGCCATTCATAGGGTCGCTCTTCCAAGAGCCGCTAGAATCCACTCTACACTAGTACCTGACATATCATCTCAATTCACACATTTTGATCTTCAGCTAAACGGGTTATATACCTAAAATGGAAATAACCAGTGTGTATCCTAGGAGGGGTTGTCTTGTCATCTTTAGTCCCCTCTCTATAGCTTCCTTGGCTCCTCCTTCATCTTCGTCGCACCATTACTCGAGAGAGAATGTCAGCATGTCTTTCATTATAGCGACTCGCGCTATACTGTACCTTAAGAAGGCAGATAGTTTCAGCTTTGTCATGATATTTGAATGTCATCAATGGGTCAACAATTATAGCATTGAGGTCTACTCCTTTCACTCTAAAGACCTTACACTCGATGAAGTATCTGCTTGTCAAACTCGAAAATCACTTAAGCTCAAAATATCATCTTACTGCCAACCATGATTTGTGGCTTTGAATAAAACCTAAACACTTTTTTATTTTTTTAATGTCTCTCATAGCATTGCCGAGCGGTCATGGGACAATCTATGTTCAAATACCGCAATTAGTGCAGATCGCCCATGAGCTAATTGATACCACAGAACTAGTTTCAGGCTGAATAGTAAATTCTATGTGTGCGCCTCAGCGAAACGTCATTCACTACTCGAGATCATCCCTAAATTAGACTTCAAACATGATAACTAAATATATGCTTTATCTGATAGGATTAAGTAACCCCTATATTGATCGTTTTTTTATTAGCGTACAACTTCACGAACGCATATAAATATTTCCCCAATTTTTCTTCACGTTCTGATCATACCCAATCACTCTTTTACAAACATTCGCGATTACTCAATTTACATAATATACATGTATACAATCGCTTCATACACAAACAATCAAATCTAACTCAACATCTACCAAGTTACAACCATGAATCCCAACAACACCATGAGTTCCAACAGCACCGATAACTTTTACGTCGGAATCACCTCCAAAAACAGCACTTGCGCCAGAGCTATAACCGTGAGATCATGTATTCCAATACATGATGCAAAATCCATACGTGACGAGCAAAAGCCCGCCTACATTGCAGGTGTCTCGATCGCATTCTTTTTCATCATCATTTTTGCTATCGCCATACAAAATCTTCGCGCTCGCATTGCCTCCAACAGGTCTATGGATGAACAGAGACGAGTTGAAGAAGGAAGAATGACCAAGGTTGTTCAGCAGGTCACTGGTAGTGAGATGGTGACTGATAGTGAAAATAAAACTGGTAGTGGAATACCAACTGGGATTCTAAAGACAACTGGTAGTGGAACGAAAATTGGTAATGGAACGGCAGTTGGTAGTCTGAAGACAACTGGTAGTGGAACGACAGTTGGTAGTTTGAAGACAACTGGTAGTGGTACGACGACCAACAGTGAAAGGACGACCTGTAGTGAAAAGGCAGCTCAAGTTTCAAAGAAACCTGTCAAGCTATGAGTACACGCAGTCTACCTAAGAGATCGAGGAGTTAGAAGAATAAGGGATGGTAAAAGTATGGGCTGTGATTTTCTCCAGCGTGGTTACGATAAACGATTAAGGAAATTTTGTATGATAATTAATGACGGTCTATTTTGTATGATAAATGTTAAATAATTAAATACGGTTCTCATGAAGAATTCTCATGAACTTCTCTTCAAAAATTACTCATCATGTTGTATAATCTCTGCGTGAATACTCTATTATTTTATCGACCCCTCAAAGATTGCCGTTGTCCCTATCTTCATATGATTCAAATATTATTTCTTTTTTCTGAAGACGATTTTCTGAATGGTTTCAATGTCTCCGGAAAGATGAGGAAACGTTATTACTTAGGACAATAACATTCATCGAGATTGGCTGTGGCCGGAACTCTTGTGATCAACGCCGTGCTGGAATATTTCATCTGCTGGGTAAGTGATTCTGTGACTTATAATTGAGCGTTGAAAGTTCACCAAACTTCGGAGGTTGTTAGCGTTCGAATGTCAAAGGAATTAAATGACGTGGATGTCTTATGTCGTCTTCGAAAAGGCTGTGCGAGTATTAAGCATCCGTCATGCCAACTATAGACAGATAAAGTCTTGAAAATTTTCCGACTCCCCATGGGATTCGGCATTGTAATTGGTGATTATTAAATCTTAGGGTAATTGAGCTAGATTGATAGCCAAAGTAAATCATTGACACTAGTACTAATATGTTTATCCTAGAAATTTCATCACAGACTTTGATCGGCCGCCTGAAAGTTTATTTTATACCTTTCATCTATCAATTTTATCCTCATCATGAACTATCACTGCCCCCTTTAACAAACATATTTGATCTAAAAATAGTAGTATCTTTAAAATACCTGCAGAAGCACAAGCCGGAATGTCATATCAAACGAAGACTGGAATTCAGAGCTCTGGGCTATCTTGTCCTAAAAGTCAAACCTTCTTCAATCCAAGGCCTCTCTTAAAGCGTAAAAGTATATGTTGGCCTGTAATCTCATTCATTCCTCACTTTCACCTTGAAAGATAAGAAAGGAACCGTTGAAGCTAAAGTAGTGAAACCATTACACCAAATTCTATTCAATCCCAAAGAATTATACAGCCGCTCACACGCACTTATCTAATATTTTATCTACCGCTGGAACTTTAAGTTTTCAATAATGTTTTGTTTTCGGAAAAATATTCCAACCAGAATAAAGTGAAAGGTGTGACATAAATCTCAACACACAATATAATTTATGATTTGGAATGATCTTATCATTACAGAAGAGAAATTGTAGGTGAAATGAATCCTGAATGAGAAAATAATAGATCCTTATCCTTACAAAGATTAAACACATATAAATTATCTAAATTATCTAAATTATCCATGACGGACCACGATCATGAGAAGCCAGACATCACGCAAAACTTCTTCGCACCTTCGTTTAAGCGAGATGTCACACCTGTCCCCTCATTTTAGCGCACGCCTAGCATAAAAACTAAGATATTACACTCACAAATCCGTCTCCCCCACACAGAAAGAGAGTTAAATCTCTTAGCTCGTAGACTAGATATCAGTAGTTCATACTTAGCACCAACTCAAAACCCAAAGGTAGAAGAAAACTGAAATTTATGATGATGACATGGACTACCATTGTGCTAGACCACACCGCTAAGCGCATGAAAACCGATCTTATTGTACAACTTATGCTTATCCAGAGTGGTTCATTTCATTTTAGAGCTCATTAAGTACTGCAAAGACTTTTAAATACCAAGATACTGAATTTTCTGGACTAGATTCAACGGTTTTCTTTAGCGGGTAGACCTGTTCTTGGGACTTGGCCGGTTTGCAAATAAATTTTCTATATAAAGGTTGTCCCAACCGCATTTGAGAAGTTTCACAGTCTTCCTCTTTGTATCAACATTCAAAAATATGTTCGCGCATGCCTTTACACACAAACCAGAGATAACCATGACAAATCCAGCCAACATGACTTCTCCCGAAGTCCATCAATGTGAATCTTTATTCCAAACATTATCCTACTACTCGTTATTTCTATTAATAACACTTATCATCTTCCCACCATACTTCTACATTTCGAAGATAATTACAATTTTTTTCTCAACTTACCCTACTTCCAACTACAAAATTGCCACATTTCAGCCTCATCTTTGGAAGAACACGGTAAAAGGTCTCGTATCGCTCACAATTCTGATGATTCTAGATCTGGACTTCATCTTCTACTATGGCATCTATTACATTGCGAGTAAATCACATGCGTTTTCACATGTGAAGCAGGGTGGAAAACTCACGCTCCTCGCGTTTATGCTCACCCTAAAACTACACTGGCTTTTGGTTGTGACTGTTTACGAGATTGGTGAAGTGTTGGCAGACGAAACACTCTCATACGAGAGAATAATAGGGAGACTAAAGGGAATGCACAAAACGGAGACCGACGCAGACAATAAGAGAGAAATAGAAAATTCTTCCGATCTCAAACATTCAGAAAGTCAACCTCCCTCGTCCCAAGCAAGAGATCATCTTTTCCTCAATCTGGTGGATTTCGACACCAAGGAAGAAGGGCATACCCATCTCGATAAGCATGCTACTGTCGACGAATCGATATCCCCAACTTTTTCTCTTTCTCCGTTTCATTTTACTAGACTCCGGTCAAGAATCACCATTACCCTTCCGAGCCCTGTGAGATCAAGAATCCGTGAAATGATTGATTCAGCTACCCAAGATTTGCAACCCGTAAAGAGACATAAAGCGGTTCGAATGATTGTAGAAACCGAGCAATATACAGAGAAATTGTACTCGAGGTCAAAATCTAACATACCACGAATGGTTGAGCAATTGGAGGGGTTGGAAAGAAAATTGAAGGATATTTTTGTGAATGCGGAAATGACTGCTGCCAATATTGAGGCCGGTGATAGAAATTAAGATGAAAGTCAAGATGAAGAGGGAATGGAATCAGGTGTCTTGACTCCCTCAACTTCTTCGGGTGAATGGACACCTGTTGCATTATCATCGACTCACGCGGCCCGCTCTGAATTCACATTTGGGCATGATGCTGAGGATGAAGATGAGGACATGCCGTCTGGTTCGTTGACACCTTTAACTTCTTCATCCCGATACCGATCCTCACCCAGTCCAACTACCACCATCTATTAATAATAAAATTGAAGGCCATCCCTTGATCATTTACTTAGTTGCTTCAATTGTGAATCTACAAAAAAGAGGGACCAAAATCTAAAGACCTCTCAGCATGTCCATTCGATTGAGATTCCGGCGCTCGGAATAATGAAGATCGATAATGATTTAAATGGTGTTGACTTGATTGAAGTCTTTGATATGCGACTACCTGGGAGGCACCAATGCCGCACATCATGTAGCGTCAGTCTATCTATTCCTGTACTCTTTACTTCACTCCTCAATAATCAACCCACAACATTTCCGCCAACACCCTCACACCATCCTTTGATATTTTCAGTCACAACCCTCCTCAATTTCACCACACTACTTATTCCATACCAAGCAATATGTGGACTCAGAATCAATCTTCCACTATCCCGCAACTCGCTATCTCTCGCTGCTCTCACTAATGTGTTATCTTCTCCGGCTGGTTCTTCTACATAAACATCAGTTGCGGCTCCTGCAATTTTGCCTTGCTTCAATGCATCTACTAAATCTTCCTCGTTGACTATTCCACCTCGTGCGATATTGATGATGAGAGCATCCGGTCTCATTATTGATAATTCTGCCGAGGCAATCATATTCTCGGTAGTGGATGTCAAGGGGAGAGAAAGGAAGATGACAGTACTAGTTTTCATGACGGTGGTGAAAGGGGTATAATTTGGACGGGTTTCGGATTCAGGAACACCTTTTCTTTCGCATAATTGAACGGTCATTCCTAAAGCCCGACAAAGGTTTGCTACTCGATTTCCTAAGCTTTGTTAGTTTTATGGTTTGTGTGTTGTGGGTTGGGGGCATAGTCTCCAGTGGCCCAACCAGAAGCTTTTAATGCCGGTAGCTCATTCCTTTTAGAGATTCCAAACTTTATATTGTTGGACTGCAGGAAAGATCATTGGATAATCTGTTTCCCGTACGGAATAGATTATTCAGATTACTGACTACCTTGCTTTGAAAGGAGATGGGAGCTCTGTAGACTGTCATGTCACATGATCTGACCAACTTTGACGACATCACCTAGGCACTTTCTCCCAATGATAGATGATTATATGAGAAAATTGAAGCGAACTACGTTTCAATCACTTCCTCGATTCCACCCCTCAAACGTAAACCCAAGAAACAATAAAACGGCAACCTTACCTAACTCTCCACCTCCTACAATTCCCACCACTTCCCCCTTGAACCCTGTCATCAAACCCCCATAGAAATGCTCACTCAAACTTCCCTTCTCCTTCCATTCTTTTCCCTCTCTAGTTCTTTCATGCATCCCTACCACATTTCTTCTAAGCGCCATATACAACGTTAACCCGTGCTCTGACACCGCTTCATTACTTGCCGCTGGAACATTTGATACCGAAATTCCATGTTCTTTACAATAAGCAATATCGACATGATCTGTTCCGATGGCGAGGATAGCTATATGCTTTAAATTCGGTAGTTGGGATAGAATGGTCGAGGTGAGGAAGAAACGGGTGGAGATCAAGACATGGGCAGGTTTGAGATATGTCATCAGTTCGTCACCTTTTGGAGGAGGATTTGGTAGTTCGGTGACGGTATAAGGGATTGGGAGAGATGAGAAATCTGGTGAGGGTGTATGGATTGGATCAAGACGGAGAATCCGGAGGGTTTCGGGGAGATTTGGACGAAGGGTTTGTGGAGTTGAGTCAACCATACTTTCTTGATAAATTGAGACGGGATCGATGGTTAAATGAAAAGGTCTGCTTTTATCTGAGTTGTGGTCTTGCACGCAGTTTGGAAAGCAATAAAGGATCCAAATCAAATTTATATGAAGAGGAACAAGATAAGAAAGAACGTCTGGTAAGCATATGTCTATTTAAAGGCGTGAAGTTTTAGTGGAACCTTTCCCCACATTTGAGGTTCGGATGATTGTCCGTGATAGAAGGCTTAGCTTATCAGATTGGATGACGACCAGATGGACATTACAAATAATTCATGTTTTGCTTATCTTCGGACAAAGATTATGGTGATATCTGAGCTTGGATTGGAAATTGGAAAGAAATGATTGAGATGTTGTCGATGTGGTACAATCAATATCAGCCAAACTACAGCTGATGAAGGTAGCCTTACGAGTCAGAAAAATCCTCGATGAATGAGGCATGTACTGGTCATTCCTCTTACAAGGGAGATACTGATGGCCCCTTATAAGAAAAGTGATTTTTGATAAAGATATGCAATTAAAACCAGTGATAAAGTACACATTTGACCATCAATAAGATCTACTCCTATCCTATCCTACTCCAACGATACCAATCCAACCCGATTCAATGAACAAGCGCCATCAAAAAAAACACCAATGCAATACAATCTAAGCCTCATAAGTTTCTCCAAGACCAAGCTGACAACGGCTAAGCAATACACCACGATATCTCGACCATCTCCGATTCATTACGCATCGCCTTCAAAAGTTGATTGAGTTCAAACTCCGTTTATCTATAGATTGAGATGGGAAGCTGTGAAACCCAGACATGCAACTGATTTACATGCCAGAGTTCTTGGCAGCTAAGTAGTTCCAAAAGTGTTAGTACACCAAAGAAATTCATCTAGCAAATGAAAAGGTAAAGACCGGGAAGAAGGACGATGATATGTTCTGGAAAAGATAAGATCAATTTTTGTAGCGTACCTTGATTAACAGTGGCAGAGTCGAAGCTAACGACATTTCCCTGAGCATCTGTCATTGAGGCAGTCGATGCATCTACTGCGCGTGCTGCGAGTTGAATAGCTGTGTTTTTGTCAGCAGATGAAAAATATATGGCTCTGTTGATACAGGGAGCGGAAAGGGGACTGTGGATGACAAAGGTAGGTCGGCGTGTGGAAAATTGGGATAACATACGTGTGGCAATCGCAATGGCGACGAAAGAAAGAATAGTTACGAGTGTGGACTGCATGATTGCTAGTGGGTATGTTTATTGAGGTATTGAGCGATAAAAAATGCAGAGGACCGTTTGATGATGGGGATGATTTAATAAGGTCGACCGGCAACAAATGATTGCGTATAAACAAGAAATCAATCAATCAATGATAGATAGATGAGAGATAGATAAGGAACGAGATGAAAATAATGATAAAGCAAATCCCCCATACTTTGAGGTCATCGTCTTTATATCTTCATCGAACCGTCAACATCCCACAAATTCAAAACGAGGATCCAGACTCAAACCTGCGCCTCTCGCTTCCCAAAGCCATCATCATAAAATTCATCCAATACCTATGAAGGGATGATTTCAAAGGGGCACCTATCAACATGCCAATCCCATGTCTACTCAGCTCCATCGCTTTGCTTGATTCGCAGACATCATGATTCGAGCAGAAACCGGGGTTCACTGCATTACAAATTGAATGATATTCACATGGTCATGATACATCGAATGTATGGACAAGGCTTATGTTGTATAGAGTATTATTTAAGCTTGTAATAATGATTTTTCATGCGTAGAAGGTTTGAGGAAGACGGGAATCTTGAGATCCGAACGGGGAAGGATGAACTTTTGGGGGCTGTAGATGTTGTGGAGGAATAAGGTTTCCTGTTGTTGTTGTTGTTTATAGATTTAAGGGGTAAAGGTCTCGTTTGAGGCTGGGTGGTTTGGGAAATGATTGACGACAAGCTTCTTAGACAGATACCTGATAATGATATGTAAGCTGGAGTACCTAGTAAATTGACCATTGCTCTTGATCTGTAAATAGCCTTTGAGTATTTGACTTGCGATTCGGATTGTACCTACTTGGCAATGAAAACGTGTCTTTGAAGAGGTTAATACTGACTAGGTATACCTGAGTGACTCGAGATATTCGTCCTTTGTACTTTGAGATGATGACATATGAGGAAAATGGTCTTTCAAGCTTAAAACAGAAGCTCTTTGAATGATGATGGAAAAGAGGGGGTTTACCGTCAGCTGCACTTTCAATAACCTTGCAAAAGAAGTTGAAACGGGAACTTCATCACCGTCGTCGCCATGGTATCAACATCAAAGTTTGTTGGTTAATTCGAACCACTCCAGCTTCATCCTTCACGACTGGAAATGAAATATAATCATCATTGATATGAAGCAATAAAAAGCAAGCATATATTCACCTGAGCAATCACATATCTCATGCTGTATGGTATTTCTACCGACCGACCAACCGACTAACGGAATTGAATGAACCAAGCGAGCCGGAGATCTCGGACTAGAATGATCCATCATCTCAAAAGTCTGAATCCGGAATGAATAATTATCCACTCCAATTGAGATTTATGCAAATCATAGGTACCTGAAACATTCATCATCGATTTCCACAAATCAAGACGAAAAGCTTATCGATAACCCCCGCTATGAAGTCCCACAACACCCGAGCTCCTTCTACCGGTAATGGCAATGGCCTCGCTGACATTCACATTCACATTCAATCACAACAACCTTCCTATCAGTCTTCACTTCCACTCAAATCCCTTATCTCCACAACATCAATAACCTCATTTCACCAACTCACGCTCATCACAAAGTTCGTCAAGTCCAATAGAGCTAACATATCACACAAATTCAAATTCAAATTCAAATTCAAATACGATTACAAATACTCATACAAACACTCGGATCCATATTCGTATCCCCTACCCTTACCGTCAGGTCGACAGCTACAACTCTATTCAAATCCGACCCTTAATACAACCCCAAATTCATCAACCAATCCATCTTCACCAGCAATACCAACAATTATGGCGACTCCAGATCATTGTCTCTATTGTTTCGAAGTTTTAACTGCTCATCTCGAAAAACGACAACCATTAGGTTTGGAAAAGGTTCAGGAATTATGGACATCTTATCCTAAAGGTCTCGAATTACAAAACACCGAAGAAGAGGAAGAAGAAGACGTTGATCTTCAAATTACTGGTTCTCATCCACCAAAAACAAATCCAAGACCAGATCCAAATTCAACCACAAATTCAGCACGTCATCCTATTCTCCAACGAATTACACGATCTGCTTCCGGAACCAGTACACCATCTTCTAGTTCCTCCGAACGAACATCAGCCTCCAATTCCACATCTACGACTACTCCCTCTAGTTCAACCACCTCATTTACCCCCATCGGTATCTCCCCTACTCCTCGTCAAACAACCCAACTCTCCCCTCCCCGCAACCTCCGCGAATGGTCCACCCCCCTCTTCGTAACCTGGAATACTCTCTCCTCCTCCTCACAACCCCATCAACAATCTCCTTCTCTACGCGGCTGCATCGGTACTTTCTCCTCCGAACCCCTCCTCACATCTCTACCCGAATACGCAATAATTTCCGCTCTGCACGATTCCCGCTTCGATCCCATTACACTGCGGGAACTCCCAACTCTCGAGGTTGCCGTCACTTTACTAACGGATTTCGAAGAGTGTGCTCATCCGCTCGACTGGGAAATCGGAGTTCATGGGATCAGGATCAGTTTTTATCATAAGAATAAGAGGTTTGGAGCGTGTTATTTACCTGATGTGGCGGTGGAGCAGGAGTGGGGAAAAGAAGAGACGGTTGTTAGTGCGATGAGGAAGGCGGGCTGGGGAGGAAAGAGGGAGAAGTGGAGGGAAGTGAGCCAGTTGAGTGTTGTCAGGTATCAGGGAAGAAAAGAAAGTGTTAGCTGGAAGGAATACAATGAGTGGAGGACTTGGGTAGAGAAACAGGGCAAAAATGTTGAGACGAGGAATTAGAGGGGATGGATATTACATCTTCTCAATACTGGAAATAGGAACAGGATGGGAATGAATCTCACTATCATCGATTTAAGCGGGTGGGAAAAGTGCGCGGGAACATGAAAACAGGGAGAGCATGAGACACAACATACAATGATTGATGACAAATTACAACAGATAGAGATTTAACTTGGCGGGGGGGGATTCATATAATTCATGTCATTCTATTTATTCTACTCCACTCCCTCTCTTTTTACACCATCACATCTACCTTCCTCACCGGCCACCTAGTCGTGGCAGAATAAACAGACCGGAATTGTTCACTGGCAAAACCCTCCAATAATCCAATTGCTCCGTTTCAACTCAAAGAATAAAATTAGACGGTAAAGGTTTATAGGATTTCCTCTATCGATCGATCCATCCATCCATCCATCCACACACACTACAGCTTCCCTCCATTTGAACCTCTGGTATGTCTAAATCTCGAATTATCAATAGACTTACCTCAACCTCAATCTCTCTCCAATACCATTGTGTCGTACACCCCACATCCATATAAATCGCAATCAATCAGTATATATTGATGAATCCATTCCTCACATCTTGAGTAGTGTGCTGGATACTATTTTCTAGTAAGACTAGAGATATCGCGAGTGGATTGACCTTACCTCGTAGCTAGTATGTTCACGTGTATCTCATGTTTCATACATACACACATACATACATGCATACCTAGACAGGTACACATACACTTCGTTCCAAGACTCTTCCAAAGCATTCGAGTATTTTATACTTGATTTCATTAATCGCCGGGGAAAAATATAAAAAGCTCCTCGGCTCCTCGCTATATGCTTTCCTATCCTATGGTATATGTTGTTCCTCCGTTTTCCTTTATGACTTTTCTTTTCGCGACAGACGGTAGACAGCAAGGCGGCGGTATATTTTTATTCCATCCCATTTCGTTCAGCCCATCCAGCCCCTTGACATTGATTGGCATTCTACTTGCCTGAAATGACAAACCCAACCATTCCGTATCCATCCCGTCCAAGCGTAACCTTCCCTCCAGGCTATCCATATCCATATCCATTCCCTTCCCTTCCCTTCCCTTTCGCTCCCAAATATAAAACACAAATGGATATCCAGTAAATCAACTAAGCAAAATCACTACTCATAAGTTGTGATGTCATTAATATATGTCGTAAATTCTCGTCTTGGGTCGTCCATCTCGTCTTATTCCTTTTCCAACCACTTGCTCTCATTCACCATTATCTCCAACCAGCTCATTGTACCTATCAAATCGATCTATCTCCAGCATGCGAACTTCCTTCCTATCTCCCTCAATTTTCCCTTGCTAATTCCTCTCCCATTTCTATTCCCTCTCTTTTCATATTCTCCGCTTGGAGTTCCCGGCGGTAAAGGCGTCAATGGTTTCGTCATCGCTCTCCTAGTCCCCAACTTCTCCCTTTCCCCATTCATTTCATCGCCTTGCGCCCCATCCATATGCACCCCCGATATCTCATCTCCAATTTCCCTTCTATCCATCAAAGCCCTCTTCCTACCCTCTACAACCCGTCTAACAATCAACGCGAAAGTTTCCTCGATATTAACAATACTCCTCGCGCTTGTTTCCATAAACCCACAATTTCTTGCCCTAGCCCATTCCAAACCCTGCGAAGCCGTCACCTCGCGCGATTCTTGCAGATCGCATTTATTTCCCGCAATGATTTTAATCGGAGGCGTATATCCATAATCGAATCCTCCCCCTTGTATTGACTTTGCATTTGAGCTCTGAATTTTTTTTGTTCTTGAACGAGATTTCGAAGGAGAAGATTCGGCCTGCGCTCTTCTCCATTCTTCGCCCCGAACTTCTCCCTCCATAGTAACTAATTCTTCGAACCAATCCAGCGCATCCAAACTTTCTCGTCGCGTAATATCATATACCAATAAGAAGGCATCACTTCTCATACTCCCATTGGCACTTTGCCACATCCCGCGATATTCTTCTTGGCCTGCGGTGTCTGTTATGGAAAGATGATATGTTTGCCCATCGATGCGTCGGGTGAGGGTATAGGAATCTTCAATGGTAGGGTCGTAATCAGATGTCCATTGAGATTTTACAAGGCGGAGAGTTAAAGCGGATTTGCCAACGCCACCGTCGCCGAGGATAGTTATGGTTATGCGATTGGGATCGTAAGAAGTTGCTGCCATGATTTGGTCGTGTAATATGGTATGGTGAGGTATTTACGGAGACGAGATAAGAGGGAAATATATCGAAGAGTGATCGATTGGTAGGATTTGTTTAAGAGCGAGAGCGAAAAGACAAGTTGTTTGAGAAGGTGTTTGAGGTATGGTAGAAGTAGAATTGAAACCGTCGCTCGAAACCAAATCGATTGTCGCAGATACCTTTTCTTAACTGAGCGTTCAATGTCCGTTTAATGTCTGTTCATTCATTCGTTCATTCATTCGTTCGCTCGATCGTTTGTTCGTTCGTGTATGTAGGTATTGTATGAATGTTTTCCTCCAACCTTCCTGCCTTCCTCCACATTCACTCACGAATTCCCTTATATCCTTTCTCCTTTCTTTCCTTTTCCCAATTGCGCCAAACCTTCGATCCAATTGATTTAAAACAATTTGATCCAATTCGAATGCCCTTCTTTCAACTAACTTCCGAAACCCCAATTGTCTTCTAGTCGAAAGAAGAAATTCCGCACAGACTGTAATATAAATATAATCTATCCCGCGTCTCTTTTTAATTCCAATCCATCTTACCGTTATCCCCTTTCTTTTAATAGTATGTGTTCTCTTCAATTGGGTTTGGCGTGTATATATTCTCCTATTCTCTTGAAGAATGGAATCTTCTATACATTTGTAAACTTTGAGGACCTACATGTAACGGTGAAAAAAGAAAAAGAAAAGGTGTGGCACACCCAACAATTGATTTGTACAACCACGCCCCTCGATTAGTCTTCTCCAGATGCCCGAGACAAGCAAGCAGACAAGGGAAGGGTAGGACGTGAACGGTTGTGCGATTATGTTGAGTTAAGTCATACCATTCAATACTGGTCTGATATCGATATACCTGGGCAGCATCTCCCTGCTGTGCAAGTCGAGCGATGAAGGTTCCCCTGGTAAATTATCTGGCCTACCTATTGGAAAGACATTTTACTCCAGCTCTCTATGCTTTTTCCCATTTCGTTTGACTCGAATGTTTGTATTGGGTAATCCGTCCCCAAGTCCCGAGTCAATATAAGACCTTGTGAAGACGTGGAAGAAAAAAAAGGTAATCTGAATCAAATCCTAGACTGAACTCTCCGGGGAAGGAAAAGAAATGGAGACTTGAGAGATTGGGTTTAATGGAATGATATGATAAAAGGTAAATGTGCGGAGATATATCAGGGAGATGTGAACCAATGAAATATGAGAATTCAAGTATGAAAAGGTAGATGTATGTAGGGATTGTTGGAATGGTGTTGTAGATGGACAAGATGGCCAGGATGGATCAATAGAAAAATTGGTCTGTGAGATGAACCAGTGGGTGAGTGGGAGGCTTGGCGAGCGGACGGCCGAGATGGTCTAATTGTGATTTATTCTTTTTGGATTTCTTTTCTCTTTCTTGATACTTGGTAGGAGAGATATAAAGCAAGCAATTGATCAATTAATCAATACATAAGTAAGTATTGTGTACAGACTATTCTTATCCTTCATATCTTTCCTCAAATTCCTTGCTTCATCAATTCATGCGGTCCTTGCTTCATTCATCCATCCCCTCCCATTGAATTGAAGAAATGTACTCGAGTAATGAGGAAGTATTCAACTGGTTGTAAGCTGCACCTTGAATAGAATACGGTCTCATCGAGTTGTGCTTTCTTTTGCGAATAAACCATCAGGCATGTGATTATTAGTGAGGCTGGTCTGACCTGGGTTGGGGAGGTGCTTGAATCTTTTTCCCTCTTATTGTTCCGCTATATCAAATGAACATTTGAAACATTTGTTCTTATACTATCAGATAGTTAGGTAGTGAAACTACTGATATGTATATCAAGTATAATACAATGATATATTCCTTCTCCCATCTCCCATCTCCCTTACCCCTCACCCCTCAAAAGGCCTAAGTTCACTCATCTCCATCTTAGAGGGTCCCTTATCTACCAGAATCGCATCTATCGTCACCATCTCCTGCTTACGATAACCATCTCTCACATGTGCATCAAACGTCCCTATCACTTCATCTTTCTCACCAAGTCCTCGAGTGCTTCCCCTCCCTGCTCTTTCTCCTCTTCCTCCATTTCTACTCTCCCCTCCCCCATTCTCTTCATCTCCCTGACTTGTTCCATAGGAACTAGGTTTTGTACGATAGGTCTTCCAACAAAAGCATAGGAAAGCACACAAAAAGTAGGTTGTCGGAATGCCACAGATTAATCCAAAACCCAATGCTGGGAACTTTCGTTTTATTTCTATGGACAAACCGTATTTCAGAAGGTCAGTCGAATTCGAGTAAGAGGAGGAGATGTTTTGTGCGGATGAGGTGGTTGCATTCATGGTTGCTGGCCTTGAATATTAATTTGTTGGTATGTATTTCGTGAACTCTTTTTAGTTTCTAAGAAATGATCCGTATGTGCTTATCGTATTGTTCAAGATATTCTTGCGGACAAGTCTGTCTTGTGTGAGGAATCTACTTTTATTCATAATTAATTGTTTCCTTCACTAAAAGAAAGACTATATATTGGCGTTTTGAGTACTCGGTAGTATCTGGGCTTATGTCCACCAGTGGGTGTATGGATTGACGGGACACTTCCCTATTTTCGAAATTTTTAACAGATTCGTTCTCCAATTATTTGATGTAGCGTTACATTTTGATTATTTCATTTCTAATAGACAATTGTAAAGATTCTTAAGATACAGAATTTGATATATCGAGAGATATCCACAAGTCCATTTTTGCAGTGTCCCGTCCTCTTCGTTGGAGAAAAACCAGGCCGGAATCGACTACTGGTAGAGCCCTTCAGTAATCCAATTATTTCATTACAATTCAGACAATTGAATGTTTAAATATTCTTATAATTGAATATATCTTCATATTACAAAGGGGACTAATGCATTAAGTTTTGATCGGTTATGTATCAATATTTCTCAGGTATCAGATATACACATATACCACGCATATAAATAAATGTGGTTGTGGTTGTGCTAACGCCGTTGCCAAAAGACGAAGATGTGAGTCAGTGTCGCCTTGTGGGGAGAGGGAAATCACTTTCTCAATTCATAGGCAAACTAGGACTAGGTAGAAAAGCACCAGATTAGTATGCTTCTGAGATTGAGCGCATACCGTTATGCTTATGATTTCGATTGTGTTTGTGGTGGTAAGTCTTGTGCTTGTCTAAGGGGGGCCTAAAGATTGATTTAGATTTAGTTCCTTGGATGGTTTTAGTCTTTCATTCGGGTTGGATCTTCCAAACAAGCTCAATCATTGATTCTTTGCTCAAGCCGACTTCTCTTGTGGAAAAGAGTTTTGCTTAAGAGATGCGTAAGGTTGCCTTCAAAAGCCCGGGTTCTTCTTCAATCTCATATCTTTACCATACTCCACAACTTGTCATCTCACATACTTCACCGACGTTACATTCTATCTACTATGCATTTCCTTCCGTTGCTTATATTCTAGAGTCCGGCATAAACAAAAGTTCATCATCCTAGTGAAAATGGCTAAACTAGCCATCCCTACCTATGTAGTTTCCAGGATCGATCCATATTCAATAAGCTCTTTTGTGATCCCTTTTCTCAAGACTTTTGTATGTCCATTTCTTAGCCCACCGACCATTGTTAAAGGAGAATTTTCATTCACGAATCACCAGCACGAATCTTGATCTTAATTGGAATCGAATTTTTTTCATTTCCTTAAAACCTAACTAAGCACCCACCGAAAGAACGTCAATTCCCATTCATATCTGCAATTTGATAGGAGGATTTCTCAATCGAGAACATCAAACTAAAGCATACACAGAAATGAAGAGAGAAAGCACCCCGTCTTGCAACTATCGCACCGCTAAATGAAATAAACCTTTGCGTGATCAATAATACCCTTCCCATCATCAAGTCCATACCGACTTCCAGATACCCATATGCATAAATAAAGAGGAGGAAACTGTGAAAACTCAATCCTTAAAGAAGTAATTCGAGGTGAGATCAAAGTCCTAAGAAGTGAAAGTATAAGTCCTATTCCCAAATCCCTCATAAACCAATTGCCATAGCAATCAGCGAGCAGAGAAAGATTGAGAAATCATAAGACCAAAGATCCGAAGATCGAAAAGTCGTAATAAAACAAAATGAAGAAGTAAAATGGTTTCGAGATCAAGGACAAGGGTCAAAGATCGTGTTGGTGATGGAGTAATGCAAGTACTTAAATGTACCACATGCCAGTGCGAAGCTTCGATATGACTTCCGGATTAACCTTATCATTTTGGTTGACTTGTCCCAAAGGAAGAAGTGGAACATCTTCAACCACCAGCTGACTTGACCCAGTTTGACTAGAGGGTGCCTTACCAGCGACTCTGTCTTGGGCTTCCTTTGCCTGCTTCTCGAGGAATTTCTCTCCACCACGAGGTCCCGCACTATGGCCCTTGGCCTCATGAGCACGAGCACGGTTAGAAGCCAAATGTGCATAGTAGACAGCGGGATCTGAGAAGCAATTAGTATAATTAAAATGCCCGAGAGTTTAGAAACTTACACAAGGAGACAGGGGTGGTAGAACGCATGTATTGATAGCAATGCTGATAAACCATTCTCTGAAAGTCATTCACTGGAACTTGAGCTTCATCCATGATGACCTGGTAGTGAACTGGACGAGCAGTTCCTTGAATTGCCGAGTGAGAACTTAAGTAAAAGTCATACTCGAAAGGATGAGTGATGTCTCTCTCGACAAGTGTACCTGGAAGTGCGTTTCCGTTCTTGTCACCAGCGGCCATGTCATTGTCTTTGGGGAAGAATCGTAAATGATGTCTCTTGGTGCACACCGTCACAGTCCAGCGAATCTAAGGGTTGTTAGAAAGAGACCATCAAGAATCGAGAAGTTTAAACACTTACAGCTGCGGCTTTGGGGCCAAATGCCTTCTCGAGGGCGATCTTCATGTTCTTAACCTCTTGGTTAATAACATGTTCGAATTGACCTTCGGAAACACCATCTCTAAAGTAGTAAATATGCATCGGTCCAGATCCCTTGCCAACTTTGATGACCCATTCTTTGAACAATGGAATTAGCATCGAGTTAATATTATCAGGCGAAATCATTTCAACACGCTGTCCGTTGGTCTGAACTGCTGCAGCATATCTACACGCAGTAGAGTCCATTGACATTGTCAAACAGGCCATGGAAGACTGTGGGGATCCTGGTGTAGCGTGAGAGACATCGGCACCAATGACCATTGTTGCACGGGGAAAGAAGGGCTTTGGTGGCTTCATGTCCGCAACCTTGCATGTCGTACCACCAAGCTTTGCATTCACCTTCATACAAACGTTGGAGCAATACTGAGGTTGCGCCTTGGCAACATGAGCAACATTCATCACTATGATCTGTTAGTCAATGCTCTTTGAGTAGGAGTGCCACACTTACTCTGAGACATCATCGCAAAGCGACACTCATTGTTCTTCTTGAAGCGTTCATACATGAAAGAATTTCGATCAGGTAAAATGAAGAACAAAATTTGAGGAATTTGCTTGGCCTGTTGTCCAGCAGCGTTACGAACGGTTTGAACACCCTCGGCGATCTTGTCTGGAGCACCAGAAATCTTCATGATTGGTGGAGTCTTATTAGTAACTCTACCACCATGGCCAATGTAAGTCTGAATGAACACCTGGAGGAAATTCTTGACAGCAGGTTCCTGAATACAGTTGTCAACGATGGCAACACCCCAGGAGACTAATGGTTCTGGATTGGCATAGAGAAACTTCTTGCCACGTAAGTCCCAACGTCCGGATGTCTTGGGATCAATAGTAGCCTTATCGAATTGAACTACTGGATTTTGAAGTAGACGAGCTTGAGTCTGAAGTTATGTGAGTGACTGTATAGTACAGTGTATTACAAGGGAGGGTAACTTACCATGGTCATGGTTCGGTCAATCTTGAAACCATAATGAGCGAGATAAGGATCCTCGTTCCATTTCAACATGCCAAGTCCATGCTCAATCGATTGAATGCGGACCTTTGGTCTGGTGACTGCAAACTTGATCATGGAGGAGGTCTGATTGGGGTCCAGCTTATACTGGTACTTTTGACTTGGAGCCAAAGTACATACTTCCATGGGGAAGAAACCTGCTCTCTCAGTCTCGATCAAAGGAGCCCACCAGTACTTGAGATTAATATTATACTTCGACTTGAAGTAATTGTAGATGGATATCTCCTTTCCAGTATCCTTGGGAGTGAAGAAATGATTCTTAGAATTGAGACCATCAGCAGCATATGCGGCCTCATGACGGAAAGTAAATCTCTTCACGGTATAGATCTTCTGGTCTAAAATCAAATGTTAGTAATATTCATTTGCGAGTGATGAGAAGCAACGTACCATTTGTCTTGCCGTGATGCTTCAAAGTGAACTTCAATTTCTTCATCTTCTCAAGCGTCAAGAATTCCGCAGACTTCTCGAGTCTACCATTTGGCATGGCTCTCTGCTCAGGTCTCAGATGCTTTCTGAACACATCGTAGTCTAGTGCCTTGTTCCGAGGAACACTGCACAAGTTACGGGCAGCTTGCATGAAGTCTTGTGATGTCCAGAATGTGCCATTGGCAACATCGACATTGACTGCCAAGCCACGGATTGTAGGACCCTTCTCAGTGAGGTGATTGCAAAGGCGAATCGATTGATATACACCTTTCATCGCCTCTATTGTGATGTCCAAAGGACAACGGTCAATGCCACGAGCGAAAAAACTACGCTTCTGAACAACGTATTTCTCACTGGGCCATTGACGGATCATATGATCAAGGAAGTCTATCATGAGAGTTAGTTACATTCATGAGGGCTGCACCAAGAAGACTTACCGATAGCGCAAAGAACATTGTTGTCAAAGTCGCATTCCTTGTTAAGATAAGCGTGCAAAGAAGCCATTCTGATGGTGGTTGTCTGCTTGACCGTGCAGTAAATCATGCGTTTGGGGTCTCCACCTGGTTTGCCAGCCTCGAGATCAAGATCAACGAGAATGCGGAATTCACCACGGGCCAATGGGTTTGAGCACCTAAGACATATAAGCAAGGGGTGAAAATGTGAGTTGAAGTGAGCAAAGTACTTACCATGCAATCTTATTACCATCCCAGAGCCAAAACTTGCCATGCTTTGCCAACTCTCTCTGGACGGTCTTGGATTCCCAAACCTTCTTAATGAGTCCCATCTTTTCACCACCTAGACCAACCAAAACCTTGAAATCTGTTAGTATTTTGAAGATGAGCCATGTGAATATCTCAATACTTACATCAAATTGGTAGACGTCCTTGTTTGGGGCGTCCACGACCTTAAATTGATTCACGCGAATGCTGATTGCCTTTCCCTGAGAATTGTAGCCTGGGCGAGCTGGAAGAAGCGTCTCGGGGGCCATGTCATACTGTTTGGAATTAGTTTCACGTTTGAAGAAATGGTTCTGTTCCATTTTTGCAGTTCGACGAGTTTGTAAAAAGAGTGAGAGGAGATGAGAAAGCGCGGATAGAGATGAGGATATTTGAAGGGTAAAGATATGAGACGGGAAAGCTAGTCAGAAGCGCTGGTTGAATAGTCAACTTGCAGTAAAGACTCGTGAATATGGTAGGTTTGATTGGGCTTGAAGTAGTTGGAAGGGATAATGATATGTGTAAAGGTTAAAGATGGTCGAAGGGGGAGTAAAGAGTTGAAAGGCTTGGAGTTTTTGGTTGTAAGAGAGATGGGAAATGAGGGTAGAGGAGAGCCCTTTTGTAGCCAGTAAATTGGAGCTGATGGAAGGGGGGAAAGAAAGAGAAAGAGCGCTAATGCCCTGACAAAGTGAATACTGTCCAAACTTGGTTGATCATAGAGCGGGGTATGACTGTCTCTTTGAATTTCCCCTCACTCTTTCCAGGAATAGTAGCAATTCAGTCAAGCAACTAGCTTCTTTTTTTGAGTGGGCAAGATGTCGGGGAGTGACGAGATAAGGAGGGGTACAAAAGTGAGAAATGGAAGTTGGTGGACAGGCACAACAGCCTGTTGACCTCAGCTGCAAGTGGGAACAGCGAGGTTGAAACCATCAAGTTAAGAAATGAATTTAGTGCAGGAATCTAACCATAGATGACTCGCATCACAACACCAAGCAGCTTGGCATACTTCCTTGAAGCAGCAACTGCTTCCACATAGATTGCAAAAACACCATGGCCAAACAGATAGATAAAGCAAATATGTTACTTACGTTTTCACGATAAGAGGGAAGCTCGCAACGCATCTTTCTAGTCTCATCTTGCTTGAGGTCTCTCGCGGGATCAAAGCCAAGACCACGCCCAAATGGAGTCTGGCGTGGCTCATTTGGTCCGTCGACTTGAAGAATGACAGATGATTTGGTTTGTTCTCCGTCAGCAACTGATTGTGATACTGAAGGAAGTGTTTGTTGCTGACCAGAGTTTCCAGCCGATGAAGGTGGACCCTGATCGCGACGCTGCTTCTGACCAGCACCCATGATGTCGATTTTAATGGTGTCTGTAATTTGAGAAGCAGTGTGTCAGTAATTGCTATGTATGGCAAGAAAATCTCGACCGAAGGGGAATGGATGCCTTGAAAAAGATGATGGTAAAAAATCAGATCGCGAAAGTGATATGAAATTGATAGATCGTCGCGGGTGTAACAATGGGAGGAAGATGTTAGGTTATGAGAATAGCGACGATGAGAACAAGATCGGGAGCAAGTGACAAGGATGGCAGCAAATAATCAGTTTGTTTGACTTACCAAAAGTTGATCGCCGTTGAGGATTGTTGTTTTGGTTTAGCTGTTATTGTATGAGGCAACAACCAGAGATTATGGCAGTAAAGCTATGCAATGGAATTAGCTTGTGCGAAACGTAGAATTTAATCAACAACAAAATTGAGATGGAATTGACGATTGGATAGCTATCAGATGGGAAGGGAAAGATTATTGCGGTGGGTGAGAGTGGTCTTTGAAGTTGAGAAACTGGGTTACCAGTAAAAGCAAGCAGCCACAGCAGTCAAGAGGGCAAACAAACGCGACTTCACCTGAAAATAGATTTTGATGTCCACTTCAAGCAGAAGGACAAACCAATTCGGTTCTTGAAGGGAAATAATTACTTACTTGCGATTATCTGTGTAGATCAATAGAAACTATGGTGTAGAAGAGGAAATTGATGTTGTAGATAGAAAGGTTGTTGTTGTGGTTGTGGTTGTTGTGGGAAAAGAATTGAGGGACGATAGAGAGAGGCGACAGCGAGACTAAGTCAACGTAGATTTGAATTTGGCGCTAGTGTAGAAGTCAATTGAAATTTGGAAAGAGCCGAGAGAGTACCTTCTCTTTTTTTGATTGGAGGAAGGAGACTCTACAAGTGAATTAAAGCTCAAAACTAAGGTGAGATATGAGACGAGACTCTTCTTGCCCATTAGATTAGATTGGATTAGAGTGAGGAAAGATGAAAGAGTTAAAAAAACGGCGGAAATGGATGTCAGATGTTGTTATGAGCCAGTAATTAAGTGTCATTAATGAGTCAAGTTAACACTTTGAAGCAATCTGGATACTTGCATATTGCTCACATCAAGATTTACATTTCATGGCACTAATTAGTTGACTTCCTTCATAAAGGCACGTTTGCGTTTGCTTCGCTGTGTGCGCCTATGCGCGATGCAGATTCAAGACAGTAAATGCTTGCCTATATGCCCTAGACATACATGTACCTAGGTATGCCATGGAACGATTTACTCAAACATGATTTCTTGACTCAATTTGCTGTTTAATACGTATGAAACTGTGATCCCAATTCTCAATGTCGAATTTCGATCTACCATCCACGCGAGGAAAGCAAGACGAACAGATAATTTGATTAGAGGTCGAGGGAATAGAAACACAGAAGGGGAAAATGGTAGGAATAGAAGGAGAGAGAAATGATTGCCATAATTACCCCTCTCCTCTTTTCCTTTTCCTTTTCCTTCGAGCATGAATCGATTGTAGTAAATATACATAAAAGTAAACGTTGAAACACACATACGCCTTTTTGCTCCATTGTTGGTACATCGGAGAACTGTTATAATGCACACCGTAGTTGCATGCAGTGTAACATCAATCACCCACTACCCCTCACCAAGCCAAGGAATCAAACAGAAAGCTCCAACAGAAAAACATCCACAAGAACTCATTTATGTATGATAATCATCATTTGTATTTCTCGATTACGCCACGTACTTCTTTAATATACATGCAGAGCTGACTGGCTGGCATAATGTAATAAAACTTGCAGCTCCCTCCCAAACGCCATGCTATGAAGAGAGAACTTGCATAACCTTGTGCATAGATTTCTCCTTCGTTGCGATCAACCCCTTTCCATCAAACGAAGAATAATTGATACGGCGTAAAACCTCCAGCGAAAAAGAATCTGGTGAACCAGAGATACCTCGTCCACGTCACTCCCCTCCCTCATCAACCACCAGAAACGACGTCAAATTGGAGAAGCTCGGAGATATGTAGGGTGGGGTGAAGAAGAAAGGTTGTTTAAATATACATATTGCGCTGGGGTTTGAGTTTACGAAGTAAAAAGAGATTTTGATGCGAGGGCGACAACAGAATCATGCTCGCCGAAAGAAGTATCATTATCGATAAGAATATCCTGTAAAAGATTCAAAAGTTAGCTTCAATGATAATATCCACCATTGGCATTTCCATTGCCGGGCCATTGAGGTTGCGTATATGCTCCAGGCTGTTGTTGCTGCCCTTGCCATCCTCTATTCTCAAAACTCGCATTTCGCGAGTGAGAAGTTGCTTGGCTATATCCGCCACCCCATTGAGTATCCTGGGGTGTGACCGGAGACCTGGTGTAATCATGACCCTGAATTACGCTTGAAACTCGATCATCTACAGGAAGATAACCAGGCTGCGACACGCGCTGTGGCTCCCCAGAATATCCATTATTTCCATTATTTTGTATACCATAACCATGAGATTCACGAGTATTGGGAGCTTGGTAACTGGGTGTCATACCGTCATAGCGTTGCTGCGATTGTTGTGGTTGTTGGGACTGTTGAGGTTGTTCTCGCGCACTTTTCCATTGCATGAAATCCGGCACTTCCGTACGGGCAAGGAGCTGCACCAAGTCACTTGGAATAAATTTGACGCCCTTCAATTGTGGGTCACGAAGATAGATATCAGACCGAGGAATAATGCTAAGGAGAAATGTGATATCTCGTGGAATCACGTATGGTGCGGCATTTGATTGCCATGCAGGTGCGCCTTGTGTTTGTTGTATTCCCTTTTGTTGCGCCAATCTGCGTCCTGCAGCTCCCTTTAAAGGAGATTGACCACGAGCCAGTTTTCGTGGAGGGTTGAGCTCGCTTTCAAAATCTTCAGTTGGAAATGGTCGCTTTGGTGAGTTTGTGTTTTGATTCTGCATGAATGGTTGCGGTTGCTGTGGGCGAGGACTTTGTTCTTGTACGTACTGAGGACGTGGACTATCTGGAACGGATGGGGCTTGCTCAATAGATTGCATGACCAATTTTGGTCTCATTTGTGAAGCAGGCGAAACAATTGGTCGTACAGCAGTAGGATCGAACCCCTCTACACTGTAACGCGAAGAGAACCGGAGAAGCTTTGGATCATCCGGAAAGAGTTCTGCCATACGCTTTTCTAGCTTCTTGATTTGATCTAATGTTCCAAATTGAGATTCGTAACTATGGAAATAAACGTAAAGTGGCTTTGTTTTGTGAACAGTTTCGGGTTTCTGTGCTAGACGACTAACTGCAGTTTCGAAAGCTACCCTGGCATCTGTGTCATGATTAGCATGGACGAGAAAAACACCGAGGTAAAAGGCTTACTGGTAATATCAGAAATGGAAATCAAATGCTTTAGATACTCGAGAAGGTATACTTCATCGGTTGGGAAAAGTTTAGCGCCCCTTTCAAAGATCTTAGTACCAGATTTGTCCTTGTATACCATGTGTTCAATCAACGCGCTGGCAACATATACTTCACTTGTGATCATGCCCCGTTGACGGGCCTCAGCAAACACGTATCTTGATCCGGTTTTGGCGTCAATTGCACCGTTTCCTTGAATGCGTCGCATAGCCCTCATTAGTGCAATCCAGGAGAAGGATACGGTTCTCTGCAAAAGTTTTCTCTGCATCTCATAACCCTGTGTGATAGCATTAAGTTGGGCAGCTTTAGCACTTTCTCGGGCATCTTTATCCGGATCACTATCATCATCATCATCATCCTCTGCCTTTCTCACAATTGCACTGATAGAAGCGTCGATGGCTGAGTTTTCCTCAAGTTTAGCCTTTTCTTTTGTCTCCCTGACTTTCAAGTCCGCGATCAGCTCATAAAGAGATTCTAGAAGCTTGGCGTAAGGTGCCCGAACAATTGCTCCTTTTTCAACATCGCTTTTTCCAGCTTCCTCAGTAGAGAGCGTAGACTCAAGTCGATCGGCTTTTTTGAAAGCTATCAGACAACTCTCAGGGTTTGCGGCAATTCCATCGGCGAGAAAGGTATCGCCTTCCTTGTCCAAGTTGTTGTTGAAGCACCACTCAGCAGCATCTACCCAGATCTCAGGCCAAAAGCGTAACGCCATGACCGCTTGCTTATAGACATATAAGATACGCTGTTTGTAAGCATCCAGCTCATCCGCCTGAAGGACCAAAGGGTCTTCCTGCTCCCAAGCTATCCACTTCTTCCATAGGTCGAGTTGATGTAAATACTCTTGATCACCCTCAAATCCAAAAGCAGGTGGAAGTCGAGGTAATGTTGTGCGTTGAAGTCCGCGAATGATATTTTCAAGCGCTGTATTCGCACTTCTTGCAGTCATGTAATTTGGAGATCTCTCTTGAAGAAACTTGCGACCCTAATATGATCTGTCAGTTCTGAACCGTAACTAAATTTGAGAACCAAAACTCACCGTCATCTTGTTCAGGCCCATCTCAAATTGATCATACTGTTTCCATAATTCATTCACGTTTGACATGGGAACACAGATGGCACGCTGATAGGCTTTTCGCAATTGATCCATCTTTTGTTGATCTTGCCAACTATTGCCACCAATTGAACCAGGTGCACTACGAATGAATTGAATATAATCCTGCCAAATTTTACCTGAATCCCTATCCATCCCAATGTTTGCCAACACAAAATCGTATGCTTGAGACACAGTTGCACGAGCTGTACCACTGGGATCGACATTGAGGTCATTCATGCGGCGTATGTAGTTCAAATAAACCGACCATAATTGGATGTTCGGGACTGTCAATAAAGACTTGCCAAAGATTTGTTCCGCTGCACTGAAATTTTCGTATTCGAGTTCCATCTCAGTATAGGCAACCCATATCTCCGCCTAATTTGCTGTTAGTAAGTGTCGCGAGAAAAAAGATTGCCTGGCCTATAACATACAGAGTGTGGAAAGACCCTCAAGAATCTTTCATAGACTGCTCTGGCATCATCCAACTTGTTACGCTTGCGATGTTCACCGATCAAAGAAAGCCATGCCTCCATATCACCTCGAGGATCCTCCTTGACCCGATCTTCAAGCATACCGATCTTATCATGGGGAAGGCGAGCTCTAGGAACAGATGTATTTTGTGATGCACCAACAGGAATGGGCACTTGCACCGATTGTTCTATAGGTGTTCCAACGTTACTCGGGTTCATGGAATTGGGAACAGAAGAAAGTGCCTCGGGCTTGGAATCAACTTGATTCTCCATTTTGATGGATACTTCCTGTTGAGTGATAGAATTTTGCAATGGAGAAGGAGATCGTTTGGGGTCATCAGAGGCTGGCAGTTGCAAATGACCAGTATTAATTGGTGTAGATTCGTCATTCTCCTCATCAGAATCATCTGCAATAAATCCCCCGACAGTTTTTGGTTTGCGCACAGAAGTTTGAGAGCTGGGTCTTGTAGAATCTTGTTCAGTTACCATAGCTGGAAGGGATGTAACAGAGGAAGGGTCATAATCGTCGCCAGCGGCCGAAGCAGCTGCGCCTGAAGGAGACAAAGCACGAGAAACTTGGGCATCTTTAACGGAATCTTGCTTGACATGTTCGTTGTTATCTTCTGTATTGGAAGGTAGATCACCCTCTGCGATTCCATCATCTCCATCTTCCCAAGCCGCAGCTTCTTGACCTGCCTGAAACTGATGTAAAAGAGCTATATCTGCATCTTCCTCCGCCATTTTGAAGACAAAGACCGTTTTGAGTTGGGGTTTGAGTGCGCGAGCGTCGACTTTGAATTAACGTGGTAGGTATTGTAAATATTAATGGTCAAAAGTGTCTAGAAGAACATCGATGATCAGTTAGCAAATGCGCATGCGTCGTTGTAGTGAAAAGATGCTGGGAAGGGCGAGTTAAAGAAGGAAAGGCTAACCTGTATAGAGTGCAACAAACTTGCGCGCAAAGCCAAAGGATCGTCGGCGCAACAAAGAAAGTAGGTAGAGTATCTAAATTAATCAACTGTCGATGTTCTTGGTTATTGTTGTTGATGGGGCACTCTTCTAAAAAAAAGAAACAAACAAGATTTCTTTTCTTGTAGATATCGCCAAAAGTTGAGAGAGCTCTTAACTAGGTACGTACCAAGTAACAACCTTGGAAAGAAGGCGAAGAAAATGAGAGAGGTGCGCTAATACCAAGTATGATTAGCGTATTTCGTAAAGTGGAAATCACGGTTCAAACACCTCAATACACGCGATTTGGATTTTCCACACGCGTTAATATTGCCATTACTCACCGTGGCATTTGGAACTAAATGCTGCCCCATCAACCAATTTATCGACTTTATTCGTCTCGACCCCCCGTGTGCTTTCTTCTCCTCTTCCAATACACAATACAATCACTACCGTAGTATTTCTCACAACTTCATAAAATTCACTTGATTGGCATCTTTTGGTTAGAAAGAGTACAAATTTTTAATCCACATTTGGAACTCATCTAAACATTATACGAAACCGCAAAATCAACCGCTTTCAAGATGTCTGTCGTCTCACTTCTCGGTGTCAATGTCCTCAACAATCCAGCCAAATTTGGGGATCCTTATGAGTTTGAGATCACTTTCGAGTGTCTTGAAGCATTGCAAAAGGGTAAGTTCCTGTTCTGCCCCTCTCGGGATTGCGCTCGCTCGCATCTTTTCAATCACTAATTTATCTATTCATCACAGATCTCGAATGGAAATTGACCTATGTTGGTTCTGCCACGTCGTACGTCTTCACCTTCTTGAGTTTCTGCCTACTTCAACTCTAAAATTAACATAACAAAGCGATGAACATGATCAAGAACTCGATTCTCTCCTTGTCGGTCCTATTCCAGTCGGCACAAATAAATTCCTCTTCCAGGCAGATGCCCCAGATACCAAGCGAATCCCAGATGCCGAAATCCTCGGTGTTACTGTCATTCTTCTTACTTGCGCCTACGACGGTAGAGAATTTGTTCGAGTTGGCTATTATGTCAACAACGAATATGATTCTGAGGAATTGAACGCCGATCCCCCCGCCAAGCCACTCCTAGACCGAGTTAAGAGAAATGTTCTTGCTGAGAAACCCCGTGTCACTAGATTTGCTATCAAGTGGTGAGTCACCATGCACTCGTTAGGCAAGTCACACGCTAATGTTGATTTACAGGGACTCCGATGCATCTGCTCCTGCTGAATTCCCTCCTGAACAACCTGAGGCAGATTTGGTCGCCGATGGAGAGGAATATGGCGCCGAAGAAGCTGGAGAGGACGAGGACGAGGAAGTTGAGGGAGAAGAAGGTGGTGCAGCCGACCCAGATGCAATGGAGCAAGATTCAGAGATGGCTGGCGCAGAAGCTGAGGGAGCTGCCGCTGAAGAAACCGGTGACGAGAGTGAAGATCTTGAGGCTGAGAGCAGTGGCGAATCCGATGAGGAAGTTGAGGAAGAAGAAGGTGCTGGAGATGATGATATGGAGATGGATGGTGTTGAGAAGCCAATCTCCGGAAAAACTGGTGGCGTTACACATCAAGTTGATGTTGTCATGGCCGCCTAATTTCAATACCCCATACCCCATACATAGTTTTTGATTTTAGAATTCATTGAGCGCGTTACGATAGGTTATGACTGGGAGGAAAGCAAATATTAAGACAGTTACATGATGAATACGAAGAGTCAATAAAGATACTCTAAATAGGAATATCGATAGGCTTAATGCTTTTAGTATAGCAGCAAACGCTTATGGGAAGAGCGATATCTTCTTGCTTTTCTAATCCCAATTTGTTGTTTCAATTGTTAATAATAATTGGGACATTGAAAATCTTTGCCAGGACACAGCCCCTTCTTGGATATTCAACCACCGACAGGTGCCTATGTAGCCTGGGAACTATTCAAGGATCTGACATTGAAGTATTCACAGTTACCTCTCATTGTTTGTTCCCATTTTGAACATTGAGTCCACACCTTCAACCAAAATCTTATTCACATTCCGAGCTAAGTGAGAACATTCATTTGTCAATCCTTTCTCGATACAAGAGCAATCGTTCGACTCTTATCCGCACACCCAAAATTCATGATGGTACCTACTCATAGAAGAGTGTCGAGATATCGTAGCAAACCTATATTGTTATTTTCACTAAAGACGGGAAATATCACGAGAATAAAAACAGCGAATGGGTTCAGAAGATTCGATGTTTTCTTGTGTATCTACTAATCATTCAATGATTCAATCTGATCTGGAGTATTCCCGAGTCAACCCCAGCCAACCAGCCAGCTGGCTAGCAACAAAACACACAACCGCCTGAACACCTAACTTGCAAGATATCAAATCTCACATCGTATCTACCCTCCAAACATCAAACCCCGTGCTTAAAATAAAGCAGCGAACCCTCTTTTCTCAATTTCAGCGCTTGATCTTCTTCCCCTTCGGCGCATCGTCGGTAAATCTGGCAGTCGGTGCACGCTCGACATGTTTGGTAATCGGTGCACCTCTCTTAGTTCCAGCTTTGACTGGCTCTCTTTTTTCTTCTTTCTCTACTTTGGTGCTACTGTCAAACGAGATGCCTTTGCTGGATTTTCCGACCTTTTCGCTATCCATGTTGATTATTCAGTATAGGGGGGACTTGTTCTTATGATTTTGAGAGGCGTTTGAAAGACACCGGAGTCTTGTGCAGATGGAATCTTTTGAATGTAATGAAATTGATGAGGCTCGATATGAGATGATTGAAATTAAGACGAGCGAGCAAAGGACTACATAAATATGAGAAGTCTAACTCCATTGCGCAACTACATGTCGGTGAACTTCTCGACCACCAACCTTTGACCAAACCACACTTACAGGCTATCGTACCATCGTACCTGTTCGTCAACAACGTTTTGTGCTAAAAATATGACAAAGCTCTAGACATTGCCCTGGCCATGGATGTAATAAGAAGGTCACGAGGTTTCTCGCCGCGAGACCTGCTAGGCAGCATGTAGTTTGAATGAATGTCATTTATTTTGATGATAAAAACATCTTGAACAATATTATGTAATTTTGTTTCAATCGATATTCTTGAATCAAATTTTCTCCGACTTCCTCTAAGGCTTTACTCGATCTACGCACCCCTAAATACTGAAATACTGTGCCTGGCTCTCAAATGTGCCCAAATCGCGCTTCAACTCAACTCTCAAGTAAAAACAACACTCCAATTCAAATCCACACAAAAATATACCACATCTAAAAAGATCTCAGACCTACTGGCCTTCTTAGTAGAAGCCGAAATGAATTACGCCATTGTCAGACCTTCATTAGGCATTCATCAGATCCTCCGACCATCATTCAAACTCTCTTTCTCGGACTCGGCTCCAACATGAACCCTGAAACCATCCTGCTGGGGGTCTTTGGTTTTCTGCCTTCTCCACTTTTCAGCCAGTTGGCGCTTAGATTATGCTAACTAGCCCACCGCATTTTTTGGCCAAAACCAAGCCAGACTTAAGGTCACTCGTTATCACATTATGAAACTCTGATAAAAATAATTCATTGGGTAAGTACATGAACCTGAAGACAGTTGATCGATTTTTGACTACAACAATAATGAGCGGACTTCACCTGGTCTAGACAGCTTGAGTGGGGTGTTTATACCCAACACTCTTCTAACCCAGACTAAATATCAATAGTATTCGCAACATTGACAAGAGCATAGAGATTGGATTCAAACATCAAATCGCAATACCTTTCCGTTGAAATGAGATGTCATATGTGACATGAAGTTAAACTCACTAGTCCAACGCCCATCCTTCGTACGCTCCCATACTTCAGAACCTCGGATTCTTTTTCAGTATCCTTCAAGTATTTCCAGGCCAGGTATCCACTAAGTCCCAAGAACGCCCATTCAATATATCCATCTGCCCGTACCATACATTTCATTGTCCGTTAAAACCATTTCCCAGTAATTCCGCCCAACAGCATGCTCCTCTTCTGTTTATTGACATATTTACTAACGTCATCGGCCCAACCCGCACTATTCTCTTGTACCTTATCTAAATTATCTCCCATGATGTTAAGTTTTTCAGTCCTCTCATTGAGTTGTCTAGTCATGTAATCGCCCCACCCCTCTTGACTCCCACTAGGTCCAGCTCCACCTCCAGCACTCCGAGCTAATCGTTCCTCTTCAGCCGAAGCGGCAAGCATACGCTTGCTAGGTGGACGATCAGGACCACCGATCAAGAGATCAAGGTCAGTAGGAGAGACGTATTGAGTTCCGGATATCCATTGGAGGTTTGAGATCGTAGGACGAGGAGGAATTAATGCTTCAGGATTGAACAATTTATCTTGACTTCTTCCGAGTGGAAGTCCGGTTCCCCAGACATTGACCATTGCTATCTCACTAGGACCAGTCCAACCAATAATATCCCCAGCGGGTGTGACGACACTATTCGACGAGCGGGTTTTGTCCAGCATGTCCAATTTCGATGAGCCAATTTCTTTGAGTGCTGGGAGCGAGTAAGCGCGAGCTGTTCCATCACCAAAAACTCCGACAAGAGCGAAACCATGAAGTTCGAATTCGGTGACGGCAGCAGAATCACAAAAGACATCGTCGAAAGTTTTGTGAGCACCTTTGGCACTGGAGGGTTTGAATATGCGAGCTTCAGTTTGAGTGACTATAGGATTATTAGTATCATATCATATAAAGTAACGAACTCAGCCAAGAAAGAAATGACCGAAAGGGTTAGAAGCTACCGAACTCCTCACATAGGAAAGGAGATCAATAGCAATCAAAATTATAGTGGACTTACCAACTACAAGGGCACCGTGTGTTTGCTGTCCATTGCGAAGTGCAGCTACGATAGGACCTGTTGCTGATGCAAGTTTTCCTGTTTCAGCTACAATGGGTGTAATCGAAATTACCTTATCGGAGCAAGAAGTTACTCCTGCTAACTGAGCTGTATATCCACCGTTTTGTTGTGGTAAGATCTTAAATGTGGCGACCTTACCATTGTTTGTTCCCACGAAACAAGCAATGCTAGAGTATTTATCATCATCTAGTGTCATGACTCCGAATTCAATGCATACGGGCCACTCCGGTTTGGCAGTAGTTTGGCTACTTCCCTTTCTCATGAAACTGCTTCTCTTATCTTGCTTGATGAAGTCACTCATTGCGGTGGTGAAGATGACGGATGGCCCTCGGAGATCAATGATTGAGAAGATTCCACCTTCAGACCCAACTCCCACAAATCCCACGTCTGACATACGGATCGCACTTATGGGTCCTTGTGCCATGTCATAAAGGATGAATGGCTGTAGACCTTCCTTGAGAGATGGCTCTGCACGAACTGAAATATCCGTGATACCTCCTGGCTGCCTCTCGTTTGCCGGTTGCTCGCTACCATAGGCTCGATTGCCACCCCACCTATACACTACCACTTCACCAGCTGCTGTTCCCACACACAGCTCCCCAGTACTTGAAGCCATGTTGACAGCAGAGATACTGACAAATTCAGCACCCGCAACAGCTCTGGCCACGTCGACTTGTAGCATGCCGGAGTTTTCTAATTCATCCCCATGACCAGCATCCCAAATTCGGACTGTACCATCACCGTGAGCCGTCTGAATAATGTTACGAGCTTCATATCTCCTTAAATGCTTCACTCCCTCAGCCCCTCCTTTCAGAAGTTGAGGACCTATAGCTCGACTTTCTGTCATGCCGAGCCATCGTCCACGATCAACGGCAGATACAGCCACAAAATTGATAAAAGGGTGAACAAATGTAAGAGAAGGGTGGAGTTGGTTGGTTGGTGAAATAGGATGACCACTAGGGAAACTTAATGTAACTAGCTCGCCGGATGTTAGAAGCGCTATAACCGCAATAGGATCTTGAGCACCGGCAAAATGTGGAGAAGCACGAGGAATAAGACAGAAATCTGCTATATCCACATCAACAGGAATTGGTAGGAAATTTGAACGTTTCCCATCAAAGTGATCTGTCAGAATTTGCCAAGTGGAAGTTGCATAAACAGGAGTAACTCCCAACTCCATAAATGTCAATCCTTTGTGAGGCATAGTGGTGGGAATTCCACCAGCGATGAGTAGACCTGTATCATCGGGGTTTCCTTTGCAGCACCAAGCTATTTTTGCGAAATCTCCCTTCAACGAGAAGGTATCACCGGAGCCTTGCGGTTGAGAACCGGGTACATTAACATGTGTATCTTGTAAGGTTCGAGCCATTATAATCCGACCGTCTTTAGGATCCCAAAATACAATGCTTGCATCATCATGCGCTGTAGCAATGAATGTTCCGGTTGGATGCCATAGAGCTTGCGTAAGACGTGGTTGTCTTGGCGTACTCTTTCCCATAGGATCTCCATTCCCGCCAGGAGCTCCAGCTGGAACTTCATATTGAAAGTATTTAATGGGTTTGTTTTGTTTGAAAGAGTATATCACAGCTCCTTCTGTGTATCCTATCAATAACTGTCCAATGTCTCTGGGATGTAGTTGTAAAGATACACAGCTTAATAACCTCGACCGTGGGTTCCTTTCACGCCAGAAATTGGGAAGACGTAATGGCGCAAGCTTCTCTCTATCCAAATCGTAGCAGATAATATCTCCAGTTTGTAGTCCGATCAAGCACCAATCCAGCATAGGATCCGTCACAATGGTTGTTACTACACCTGGCGGAGAGTAAGCCGCCAACTTCTTTGCCGTTGCCAAATCCCATACTATCGCTTCGTTTTTGGAATCCACACTGATGAGTCTATCGGCGCAAAATTGTAAAGTTTTGACTGATGCTCGGCGGGGTAATGTAAGCTTTACTTGAACTCTCTTCTGACCAAAGATGTAAATTTGTCCACTTCCGAATGTCGTCTCATTCGTTCCCACTGCAAGTAGAGATTGTACTGGGTCGAATGCGAGAGAACTAAAAGGGCGAAAAGTTAGTTGAATGCCTTCAATTCAGACAGCGACACACCCGGACATACCCTATTTGAGAATTGATGCCGAATCGATCTAGATCATCCGGCGCAAATAGACCTGGCAATATACCTGCAGATAAATCATTTTGTATACCTGCTTGTTTTCCACGTAGAAATGCTGCCATTTTGATCTGACAGGCGTGGAATTATAATCGTGTTGATATTGTGTTTTGGTGTTGGTTATTACCTACGATGGTGACCAGGAGGATTAATGCTGTTGGATGAACCCTGAAATTGCTTATTTGCGTCATCTGAAGCAACGTACGTGGTATTTCTTGGCCATAAATCATGAAATAGATATTCAGGGGGGTTTCTCAAACGTCGTTACGAGGTAGACAAAGATCATCATCACAACTCAATATATATATATCTTCACATAGATTGATATGTTATCATTCATCTGAATTTATTTCTTATCCGTCCACTCAGACGTTCAATAATGTGGGCGCATGCGCTATGAAGTAGTTTTTGAGAGCAATAGTACCCTTACAAAAGTTGGTACCCAAGGTCCAAGCGACCAACCAACTATCCTACCTACTTCACAGAACAAGTTCTTCAAAGATTTCCACGGGTATATATATGAAATCCCCATTCAATAATAATTATATAACTCTATCGTATGCCTCATATGGCATATGTTGCTCATGTCCATGCCCATCCATGTCCATACTCATACCTCCCAAGCGCATATCACATTCAAGATAGAGGTTGTCCTCGTTGCCATCCCCAAATCTCCCAATATTCATGCCAGGCACTTCGTATATTTGCATCCCTATTCTGCAATCTTAACACACCTTCTCTCATTAAAGCAGGAAGTTCCATCTCCAGTTCTTCTCGCCGCACTCCTGCCTTGATCAATTCTTGAGTCAAGTCGATTTGCTTTTTAATTTGCGCTACAGGATTGATATAATACGGTGGTGGGAGGATGGCATCGGCGGCTCGTTTTTCTGCTGCTGCTTGATCGCATTCTTTGCAACGCGGTATGGTGCGATCACAATCGAGGGAGGCTCTGATTCGGGGGAACTTGAGAGCAATATATGCAAATGCAGGAGGTAACACGAGGGGGCGGTCACAGGCTGGACATGCGGACATGTTGGATTTATAGATGAGTCTTGAAAGAAATGTGGTCGGCAATGACTATAGGTGAGAATGATTAAGAATGCGACAGTTATATCAAATGGTCATAATTGAAAGATTGATTTAAGCCTTCATGATTGTACGTTTATTATCCTCCTTACCTGATGTGAACAATGAGAAAATTGCATACTGAACTTGGCGACCAGAATCGGAAGTCCTTCAATTCGCACTGCAAACATTCTTTGTCCATTTTGGTGTCTGAAAGCAAATAAATTGACAACGACGACACAAGCACCGAACCCAACAACAAGATCCAATCGCGCGCGCCATGCTGTTGACTCCAAGACAATGCTATTCGTAATTGGCTCTGGAAACGATAATGAAAATAACAACAATAGATGTAAATGTCCCGTTTTTTATATTTCTCCATGACCCAACGCATTCTCATGCCATAGGATGGAGGGTAAGTAAACGAAAAGATTCTCTTCTATCCTGCAATTTCCCCTCCAAGATCCCGCCATTGAAAGACAAAAGACCAGAGTGAATATTGAGGAATCAGTTTTAGTTTTATGAAGAGAAAAAGAAGAATGGAATTCGGACTGGAAGTTTGGAGATTGTCTTGTACTCGAATTTTCATCATCACGTGGCATAAGCGAGCATTGGCGTCAAACTAGCTTTCATCTAAGCTTCTAAATCATCGGCCAGTCGGCTTTTGGTATGATTTTATTCATTCACTATCTCATTGGCCGAGATCTCCCTCATTTTGAGCTTAAGACTTTTATTAGTAGGGCGGGGTTTGTTTTGTATGCGCCCCGCACTAAAATCGATATCTTCTGGATATATTAAAAGCACAATCAGTCATCATACTTTTACCTGACATCACAAGATTAAAAAGTTACCTTGACGTTAGCATTCGATAAAATCTTCAACGCCAACACACATCCAATCAAATAATCCGTTTTCGGTTTTCTCGACATTATCTAAATACAAGATGGCTCCAGGAGGACCAGCCGGACGTGGCAGAGGTGGAAAATTCAAGAAGTTCACTCGTGGAGGTAAGAATATTATGAATACTAGTGCTACATTGTGAAACATCCCGATCTGAACTTTTCAATAGGTGGTAAACACTTCTCTCGTGATCTTCGACCTCTCGACGCCAATGGAAACGAAATTCGCGAAAAGAATGCCGATGATTCATCCTCAGAAGAAGAAGAGGAATCGGAGGAGGAATCTTCTGAGGAAGAGGAAGAAGAAAAGCAAGAGATGACCCGTGAACAACGTCGCGCCGCTGCCAAAGCCAAAAAAGAAGCTGCTATTAAGAAGAAGAACCAAAAAGTTGCACAAGTTGGCGATCTTCCAACCGACAGCGAAGAAGAGAGTGATGATGATGACATGCCCGCCAATCCCAATCATAGCAAGGCTGCTAGAGACCAAGCCAAGGCACCTCCAAAATCTGTTGATGAAGTTGCCGATGACGTTGCAAAGATGAGCGTCAGCAAGAAACCTCAAGAGCTGAGTCGTAAGGAAAGAGAGGCACTCGAGGCACAGAAGAAAAAAGAAGCATGGCAAAAATTACATCTTGCTGGAAAGACTGATGAAGCTCAAGCTGATCTCGCAAGATTGGCAAAGATCAGAGAGGAGAGAAGGTTGGCAGCAGATCGCAGGGCTGTATGTTCCACTACATCCCCCCCCCCTTTTTTTTGTTTTGTTTTGAGATCATGCTAATTCAACGCAGGCCGAAGAGGAAGAGCGTAAGGAACAGGATAAGGCAAAGTCAGAGCAATTGGCCAAGGAACAAAAAAAAAGAGATGAAGCCATGGGATCTGCAGCGAAAGGAAAGAAGGCGAAGAAATGAGGACCTTTCCGGGATGAGATCTAGTCTTGTGCTTTTATGGGTGAAGGCTTCTAGAATAAACATCCAGACATATACATAAGTCTCGGGGCGGGGTTAATGTTTTTGCTTTTTCGGTATCGTTTGGCTAAAATCAATCTATACAACATTACATCTATCCTCTTTCTATGAGCCTATATCACCTTTGTCGTCACCGTCCTGTACTTGTGTGATCATCATGCTATGCTTGCAGACCTTCACATACAAGCTTATCATCAAATTTCTCATCAGTGTAATAAATCTATCATCTAGGCCGACACCATAATATTATCCAAGTAGATAAGCAAGTACCTGCCAAGTTTTGTTGTCCCGAAACTCAAGGTTCTGCCGTCATGTCAACATGCCCCTTTCCGCTTTCCCTTTTCCCCACACAACCTTCCTTTTCATCTTCACTCAACACAACAGGACATTTGATCTTCATGGATTCAAACAACAACTTCTCATTCCATCAATTGAGATAACATATAATCGAAGGCATGGCGCAGTGGTAGCGTATCTGATTCCAGCTCGTAGAATCTAGATCCAGATGGTCCTGGGTTCAAATCCCAGTGTCTTCCTTGTTTTAATTTTTGGTGGAGTTGTGGTTGCTTATTTTTGAATGAGAATAACATATGGAATTCTGCTTCTGGCTATTCATGTTATGAGGGTGAATGGAATGAAGAATATGAAAAGGTTGATTGATTTGCTTGGTGGTTTGCTTTGAAAGCAGGGTGTAAGGGTGAGGTAGGACAAGATTTATTTGCTTTTTGTCTCGTGGAAATGATGGATATAACGTGAATTGATAGGAAAATGATTGACTCTCTCTCTCTTTTCTCATTTCAATACTACTAAAGTTCTGAAATAGGTCAATTCATCCGTATTCAAGTCCGGGCTTGCAACGGCATCAGGAATCTGATTACCAGGACTGCGATTCACGACGATTCTCAGTATACACGAGTTCACATTTACAATAATCTTGCTTCCACAAAATTATACTCCTTTTGAGCTATAAATCAGACTTTAATATCCATTAATTGGTAAACAACATTTCCTTATTGATCAAACGGGGGCGTTCCTGCATGCTGTACCCATCCACGAGTCCACCTATCCTCCTCTTCTACCTCCAAATTACAGACAAGCTTCTCCGCTCTTACAACTTGTCAAAAATTTGGATAGGAAACTCCATACCCATACTTTTGGCTCCAAGGTTACTATCCTTCCACACGAACGCGCTCAAATCACATGTTTCCGGTACCCATTCAACCTCACTTTCTGGCAAATGATAGATCTCAGAGTGTAAAAAAATTTCAGTCTTAGCCCCTCGACGATTGCTTATACCTGGGTAAAGTTCAATTATTTCATTCTATTTTGTTCTTGATCGGACATTTTTAACTCACCTACGCAATCGGAATGAGGTATGGTAGGATGCTTTTTCTTTGTGTGCTCCTTCATCTTGTCAAGTCGACCAGTCTGATATGAACAGCCCATTGACGAGTAAATACATGGTGTCTTGGGGTAATGAAGAGATTTCTGATGGCGAACCAAATCTCCTTAACGTGCAAAGGTCGAATGACAGTTGGAGAAGGAACAACGAATACGGTCGCTGTGGTGTGTATCGCGAGACTTAGAGCCCCTGGAGGCTTTCTCACAACTTGGATCTACCGCGATCTTCAGGTGTCGATCTCCAGTAGTATCGTGGTCCGTCTGGGGACTGAAAGTCGTTTGTACGGTACGTTGCCGATACCCATACCTGAAGTCAATGGGGCACATGCCGTTTCCAGTTTGAGATAATTCTAGGCAAGATCGTGCATCGATGAAGCCAAAATGGAAGAGTGGCGTGCTGTGGTCAATATCAAAAGACATGTTAGGACGAGATGAGTATATCTTTGGATCGACATTGGGGGATTTCTCTTCAAGCGTGTTATCATGCCAGCTTTGTGGTGATTGATACAAGCAGTTATCTGGAATCAAGCTGCTCTTGCCAGCTGAGCTTGTCACAAAACCTTGGAAGGATGATGCAACAAGATCACTCATTGTGGAAATGTGAATGATTGAAAGGAGTCAATGGATTATGGTCAATGAATGCAGTTCACCACAAAACAAGGAACATTCGAATGTAAGTCTCCTCGCCTGTGGCATAAGTGCTATTTATCTCACTTAGAGCGCTCACTTACATTATAATGGTCTTCAATCAATGGTCCTCACATCTTGCAATTTTCGGTATGGACTAGAAAATTGAGAGCCGCAGCTCTGGCGGTCCTATACGAATAGTATGCTCGTGCCAGTTGAGATATATTGATGGAGAGAAGCTACCAGGTATCTGTCGGTCTTCATTTTTAAATACGTATTCAAAACACGTCGCACCATATTATAAACTCATGTCCGCTTACAGATCGGTGGTCCTTACGGTTGTATTATTCCTGGCTCGGCTGTGATTATTTTGGCGGTCCTGTGCATCGTTCAAATCCCCTGTCGTCAGCAATAAGGTTATCGGGGCGTTGAGTTGACCAATCAACAGATGTCTCCAGTAGACCCCATATGGTTAGTATGAATCAAGGTTACATCCACTGATTCGACTGTTTGAGGACCACCATTGTTCAGAAATTGCATGCTCAAGGCACGTCGGCAAACTCCAGAGATTCGAGCCCCGAAATAATTCGATTCATTTCTTGAAATTTCCTGGTGTGATCGAATTTCATGCTTGCTCTCACTATCGGTCATAGATTTCTAGTCTTGCAAGAGAAATAAAGAACCAAGGCCTAGAGAGCGGTAGATTAGAATCTCCCCTTATTCTTATACTTGGTACACGGAATCATGCATTGGCTTTGAAACGATTCTTGAAGAGAGGAAAGCTTAAATCCTGCACCCAACGAACTTCAACAACGAGGAGCGCCACCAATTTCCATTCTTCATCGGATTAATAACCTACCAGAAAGGGAACCGTTTTCCTTGACTTTTCTAACTTATTCCAAGTCAGTATTTTGCCTCGCGTTTAGGTCAGTCAACATGGACTCTTCAGGTGACATACAATTACCAGGTAAGCACCCGAACACAACTGCCTTTGTAGCGTTGTATTTCCAATTGTATTCTGACGAAATGAATGAAGACATGAACATTTCTGGCAATCTCGAGTTCTATAGAAAAATTATAGACTTTGAGAACGACACCGGCAAGCATGAATTGATTTTCGGAAATCTCGATCGCTCACAGCAAAGGGCGGTTCAGTCAATTACTCATAGCAGGAACCTGGACTATGAATATCAACAGGGTTATGCGAAAGTCTTGCGTAATTGTACTACAGACTGGAACTTTGGGGATATGATCGAAAGCTCTCCTGCGGAGCTTACCCATTACAATGAACCAACCGATTCTGGAAGACATCTGAACGAATCATCCCAACTCGAAATCGATTACTTTGGCTCCAATTTGGAAATAGAGCCATGGCCTCAATATTCAGTGTACCCATATCCACTGGAATTGCCAAGTGAACTGGCCCAGGACAATGTCGCGTCGGAAAGCTTACCGTTACCACAGTCCGAACTTGGCTCACAATTCGATATGCCCAGATATGACATCTATGGCAATTCATCAGCTCTCAATGGATGTGGAATTGATTACAATACACATGTCGGTGGAGATGTTACTCTGGCTGCAAATCTCGATACGCCCAGGATCTCCTCGGACAATAGTGGTTATGCCTCCATTCAACAGAATATTCAACGCTAAGCATACGTCTGCAAAACCTGTCAAAAATCCTATTCTCGGGAGATTTATCTTAGACGCCACGAGAGAATTCATGCAGAAGGTAACCATATGAAGTGCTCCAGTTGTGCAGAGTACTTTGCTAGACGTGATCTCTTATTACACCATCAGAGAGAGGCGCATGAAAAGACATTGCTCAAATCAGCAGAAATTTCTAGACCATCACCAGAAGTTCCTAAACCACCATCTCATACTTCGTCCACTTGGTCCGATAATTAAAATTCGGGAGCTTCATTGACCGACGAACCATTTTTGATGAGTCCTTTGTACACCCCACCAAACTATCCGAGCAGTCGGAATTCACATTCCAACTCTTTTAACTCGTCCACGTCATTATCACCAGTTCCACTGTCCGGACTCAACAATTTAAGTTCACCACTTAATAGATTTGAAATGCAAGGACTACAAAGATTTGCAAGTGGAAGTAGGTCAGGATCTGTTTCCAGTGTTCGGAGCGAGCATGGACGTAACCGAATTACGCAAACCTCCAGGAATTCAAGCGTAAGCAGACACAACTTTTTGAAGAGCCAGGCGATGGATGTTGCACATGATTCACCGTCTAGATACGTCTCTTCTGGGGGATCTGGCCGTAGTAGACCTCTAACTTCTTGGGCACGCATCGGCATGATAGCTATCAAAATGATCGGAGGAGCGTGTTGGAGATGCCGGATTCTGGGTAAAAAGGTTAGTGTCATACTCGAGATAAAATAATGCTAAAACCGATTAGTGTACTGAAGAGAATCCTTGCGATACTTGCCCAAAACGAAACAAAGCTGGCAAAACAGCTTGGGCGTAAATTGGCTGTAAGCGAGGCACACTTCCCGAGTAAATGGAGTCCATCGATCTCTGTCCAAAATCATATTCCCACCCAATGCCTTCTGGTATCGATATTTTGTGTCTTCAATGCCAGCGTCGTTGGTGCCACAGCTCAAACTCGCACGAAAGCAGATGTCCAAGATGTTAAAGAATTGATGCAAAGGTAATTGGACCTTTCACGTCGGATCTCAAAAATAATTACATGGAAGAAGCCGCAAGAAGACGAAAAAAGGATATAGTCAGTCTCACCGAAGGGGAAGATATAATTACCGAGTTAAGTTTGGCCATTGCCGTTTTTAGGTAAAACCTGTCTCTAGAGAATTTTGGGCGACCTTTTCGCCCCCTTTCGTTGGCTGGCACTTACTTCCCGAATCAAGCTCCAATGCCGTCACTTATTGCCTTTGATCAATGTTCCATGGCAATAGTATGGGAAATTGTAGAAGATTCTTCGCACTTTCTAAGTCTACCGACAATTTGCAGTTCTTCAGAGAGGCCACTCGATGATCTCGTTATATTATTGCGGTCTGCTTCGATTTATCAAGCAAAACTAGAACCAGTGAGTAAACAACTCTATGTTCTAACCAAGATAGATCATTGACTTGATTAGGATCCACATCAATTGATCGCACAATCACTCATATGTCTTCGTGAAGCACTCGAGCTCAAGCGTGTCAAGACATTAGGCGCTTTGCACGAATTTTCCCACCGAGAATGTCGCATATTTGAAGATATAGATCTAACTGATCTTGTCATAGATAAGGTTTTAGGGTTCAATTTCTATTGTTACCAATGACCATGGAACGATATATGATGAATAGGTTAGAATGTGTTCAAATGTACGGAATTCAAAACTCGCTCCTCTTTGTCACGGGCCGTTCCCTTAAGAATTATAAATGCCATGTCGAGGCGGCCTGCGCCAGAATCAAAATTTTCCCAGGGTGCACCGCCACAGAGTACCACCAAGTCAACATCCAAGGGGAGAAGGGTTTGTGTATTCCATCGATGATTTGAAAATCGAACATTGGTTTATTTAAGCCATTGGCAAGCGAATCGTTGGTTCAAAGATGGAAAAGGGGAGACTGAACACCGACTTGACAAACCAGAACGGACCGGTCCAGCCGAAGTAATTCCGAAATGCATCATTTTCGAGAGACCACGTGCACAAATCCCAACAAATCTTGGCGGAAATTCTGCGTTGTCATACCGAGTACTTTGATCTTCATAACCCTTGTTGTAACGATAAGAAATTCACCGCCACTTTTGAAGTTAGAGACTGCGATTACTTATTAATGGGCTTAGAATATATCTATGGAGAGATGCATATGATGAAGTGCCAGCTCACAATCCCGATCCAATGATGTTCGTGGATTCATAGAGGCGGCCATCAAATATGGCATTCAAACGCAAAAGCCTCGCGGCTCAACTGGGGCGCAGGTGAGGATTCAACGATGGTGAGTGGCAAGGGCTGGGTCTTCATTTTTATCGGTCCAGCCATTTCTCTTCCTTTTCTTACATTCTTTTACACAATCAAATCCAACAGTCTTTCCAAGAAATGTCGAGTATGAGTACCGAGGAATTATTGAAGAAACTCGACGATCAACATCAAGCTTACCTCGAGACATTCAAACTTGTTCACGATGCCTTAAATAACAGCATTACAAATCCAAATCCTGTTAGTGCGGCACCACAAAGTCCTGGTTCCATTCGAACATTTACAAAACGACGAAGAAGATCTACCAAAGATGATGGTGACATTCCCGAAGTACGACCATCAACACTTCACAGCTCTGTTTTATCAGGGGACAGCGACGATAGTGATGATGATGACGATTTATATGTCCAAACACCGCTCGCACCTTTCAAATATGACGAAGAACAATTGCGACAGCATTTCAGAACTTATAATTTCACAGATGCTGGTCATATAATTCTGGAAAGTGTGATTACGAAAAACGGACGACTTCTAGATCCTGTTTTGTTTCCAGATTATCATAGAGCTGATCGATCTCATAATTCCCATTATTCTGTGTTTGATGTTGGAAAAGATGGTGCTCCTTTATCTAGAAGAGATGTAGTGAAACCGGGTACTACTAAAATTGATTCTGCTATATGGCAAGCGGTTAAAGTGAGCGAATACATCCAGCATGAAAGGATCGTTGTATCTAATATTTTGAGTGTAGGACTTAAATAGCGATCCCGAATCGCTCCGGCCGGCTGTTGGTAGGATAACGTGAGTCTCGGTATCACTCCTATACTGATTATTCCTTGAGCTAACTTATATGCACAAAAGAATTGTTCGAGAACCATCTCCTGTCGTACTTGGGGCCTTACATCTCACTTTGAATAAGACTTTTGACATGGATGAATTATTCAATTACTTAGTCTCCGACGAAGTTACATCTGTACGTGTTCTGATTACCCGATTTTTTCTTTTGCTTACATGATATGACAGGCCAATATCATGCGAAGACCTTTCTCCGCTGATAGCCGACAACAAAAGACCTTTGTTTTTAACTTTGAGTACTGGACAATCGTGGGGGAAGAATGTCAACCAATGCCTTGGCAACTGTCTGATAAGACCCCAAGTACTTCAAAAGATCATATCCCTATATCGAGATGTAACTCCGTCGTAGCTCTCTCCTTATCTGGTGATCCCATACGAAAGTTGAGAAATCCTGCCAGGCGTGCTAGAACCGACTATGGATATGTCTATGACCCATGGGCAGCATGGCATGTTCTCAATGTTCAATGCTACCCGGATCATCGACATACTATGGATGTCCATGATTCAACCAAGCATTATGTAAATGGACCGGAAGCTTTTCTTCATACACTGCTCTCGGAATTTAGAGATGCAGAAAAAAGATTCGAGGCAATATACATGATGATCAGTAAACTCGTGTCACCACCAGTAAGTTAATTTTCGATTTCAAAATTCATTCCGTACTCATCCATTTCACAGGCAAATTTTATGTTCGATGGAGAAATTAGAGATAAATTACTTTTCGAAGATGAAGAATTCACCTATTCCCGTCGCTATTTCTGGGCCTATCAAACACTCGGTCTATTGAAAAATGGACTTAAAGCCATGATGGATAGTTACGAAGACACCTTTACCGATGATGTTTGGGAGGGAAAACACAAGACTTTATGGCCAATGTTGGATCCAGACTCCCACCGGAATAAATACTGGCAAAAACGCATGCAAAAACTAAAAATAGATTTCGAAAAGCAGATGGCTAATTTATTCAAACTTTATGAGGAAACAGATGAAAAGATGAAGGAGATTAGAACTTTGAGGGATCAACTTTTCTCGGGTACAAGTGTTTTGGAAAGTAGAAAGAGTGTGGAGATGGCCGCGGTGACTATATTACAGGGTCACAATATCAAACTATTGACTATGGTTTCGATATTCTTCCTTCCCCTCACTTTTGTAACCTCGGTATATGGTATGACGAATATGACCACTGATCATGATTTCACTCCTTTCGCTATAACGATGGCGACTGTCTGTGTTCCTTTCTTCTTTTTAGTCGGAGCATTGAATACTACCAGTGGTATGCAATTTTGGAGAGTAAGGTGGTATAGATTTTTGGGATGGTTTGGACAACAAGGTATTCACTCATCATCGTCATCACCGTCAACATCGGCGGCCACTAAGACTTCATCATTGATGGGAGGTATGTACCAAATTTTTTAAAAACAAAGAGGAAGAGAAAGAGGCTAATATCTTCAAAGACCCCTCACAATCATATCCTAGTACAAGTTCAAGCTCCATAAATATCAACAACGATAAACCTAAACCTCTTCCACACTCGTATTCAATCAATACCGCTCAATCTCTTGCATCTCGGAAAGAGCTTACCTCGAATACTAATCATCAATCTCCAATAAAGTCACCTTTTTCTCCATCAACTACGCCATCTATGAATTCGATTCCAGAGCATCCATTAACAATGCCAATGACGTCTTACACACCTATACAAAGACCTAAATACACTTCGATATCTTCAATCGATACCATTACAGCAACAACTGGTCCGAGACCTAGCTTGACAAGAAGTGCGAGTTGGTGGGATATGGCTCTGAAAAAGGGAAAAAGGACTGTCAGTTCTAGAGGGGAGGGATTTGGTGGAGTGTGAATTGAAGCGGATTTTTGAGTAGCCGAACCAACCTTGACCTCCGTTGATTTAAGCGGCAATGTTTCATTGTTTGCCTCGGAAGTTAGGAACACTCCAACCTTACTCAAATTTGGTCCGCCTGATGTTGGAGATATGGGGTACTCGGCCGAGGATATTTCTGGCGTTCCTCTTGTCAAGCCAATAAGATCCAAGAATCGGTTTCTGATGTGCTCACTGATGCTATGATATCTCGGATTATTTTTCAGGGAGTAGCATTGAAAGTTCATTCAATTCCACCATCCACATGAATTAGGTTGTCTTTTCCCCTCATATATATTGCGATCCAGATAGGAATCTGAGATTGATTCTTGATAATGGACTCGACCGGCGAACACAATTCGGAGGGAACTCATTATTTCATGGGTATTCAAGACAGTGGTGTTAGAATGATGGACAAAAGCAAAGGAAAAAACTTATTGGCGGGGTAAATTGAGGAAATTGACACGGAGAATTCTGGGGAGGGAGCCAAAGTGGGGTAACATGATTTTATCATTGGAACCTAAATCTCACTGGTACATCGATTTCTTCTGTCTGCTCTTTCTTTATTCACGAGGTATAACATTCACCATCAAACTACATTCTTCTTTGGTAAGAAAATATCCGAAATCATGCATCACTAGCAATCAATTTTGTTCAAGTGCATATCAAAAGTCTTGCATTGCAGAAAGTACAGAGTTTGCTATGACCCAATCTTCCGTACCATATCTATGTCCACCGTCCCATGTACTATCTTCCAACAACCATGAGATCCTTCCGACGCCGACTCCCACGCCGACGCCCATGCCCACGCCCTCGACCACTGGCAAGTTGCTAGTAATCAATGATGCGTCTAATTGCGAAAGCTTAACCAGCCAGTTTCGGAGTTGCTTTTTCGTCATTAACGGGTTCCTCAACAGGTGCTTGATTTTTAACACTACCACCCGCGGTACCAACATATACTGGCAGAGCCGGAATAGATCCTGGTTGATGCCACATACTCATCATATATTTGCATTGCCTACAAGGGCGAATGGCCGAGACAGATCCATATTGAGTGGTGTGGCATGATAAGCAGTACCAAGTGTAAGTTAACCCCATTGATGCTTGTTGTGATGGAACTTTGTGATTATTGAGATGTGATGTCGCTTTGTAGGGATTGATATCGTTGGGCTTAGTGTGATGTTAAAGATCGTGTTTATGCTGTAGATGTTCTTATGTCGGGGCTTCGAATAAACATGGGAAGATTGTGGGCAATCTCGCAATCTGTTAAATAACTGGGTAATGATGCGTTTCGATTGCCTGGAGATTGGTAGCAATTGTTAATGGAAATAATGGACTGTTTTGGCGCATAGAACAGAGCTGTTCTGAGGCATTCAGATTTGGTCATTGTGTATGAATCACCGTGTTGAGGTTGTAGGGTGATTTTGATTGTCTATTCACAAATAATTACATGAAATCCGTGATTACCTACGCAACCTCAAAAATTAAATTTGAATCCTCACCAAGGTGCGCCAAGCCGGAATGTGATTGATCAAAAGTTGAATTACTATTCAATTCTTGCCCGAGGATCATTTGCCATGTAACAGAAGGTTTCGATATATAGAGTATACACTCTGAATAACTGAAGCCCCTCCACCAAAACAAATCGGCTACCTAAGCCATAAGGCTTGTTAATAACAATCCATCTACTCGTCATAGTTCACGGATACTTAAGGAAAAGACAGTCCCAAGGTAGATTTGCTTGCTAATTGAAAATTCCCTTACCACAAAATACTTCCAGGCGAGCATTTCCTATTTCAAAGATCATCACAACCTCAATTCAGAACACAGGTACCACCGCACGAAACGCACCCCATACAACAACCGAGATTCCAAAAAATGACTAGTCCAGTCGAAGAAGTCGAAACACTTGTTCAAGAAGATACGATCAATTTTCATTGTCTAGTTTGCGGACTGGATAATGAGAATTGTCGGAATATACCAATGAAGCAGTGCAAGAATTGTCGCACCCGGTGGGAGATGAACAGTAAGGGAGAGTGGAAATGTAAAAGACGTAACTTGTTCACACGATGGTATCGTGAGAAGAGTGAATGCGGGTTCTTTGAATACTGAAATGACATGGAGAATAAATTATGGGGATCAAAGGTTTGGAATGGAGAAGGCTCTACCTTCATGGTGATTGCGTGGTTTCAAAGGAGATGCTACAGGATTCTCATGGATTCGAGTTGGAAGATGAGTCACAGAGGGGATCTGGAAAATGATCTCTTGATGTTTGTTCCGGAGAGAATCAGATTCTTAGGAATATCAAATTTAAATCCACGATCTAACTTTGCACATGTGACAAGATTGTATCGCGAGATTAATTAAGATAAATCACTGTCTCCTGCGCACCTCAGAAATTTAGTATTCTTTGTACCGCCTCTCTGCCATATAATTCACCAATTGAACCTCTACAGACCTCGGAATCATGAAAGTGCTCTGATTCATAGCCTCTCACAGTCAATGAATAGTCTCAATTTTAAAATTTAAGGAATGATTCACAAAATCAACCACGATTCACATATAAGTAAGAGTACATCTTCAACTCCAAACATAAATTGATCAAGTCAAATACTCCCAGAAAACTTCTATTCTAAACAATTCCTCAGAGCTCACAACAAATTCAAAAAGAATCAATTTCAAGTCTTCTACTCAATTCTATAAACCATAAGTCACCTCGATTCAACGCATACACAAAACTACGCTCCCAAATAAGGCGTGCAATTTCTAATTAAGATGCCACTCTTCAACTCCCAACCTAAACCAGCACCGGCACCACAAGCTCCCGTGATCGTCACCTGGCAATGCTCATGCGGAAGTTTTAATAGAGTATACGCAGGTACCGCCACTAGGAAGTGCAAGAGAACAGATTGTGGGAAGTACTGGGTATACAAAAATGGAAAGTGGGAAGATGATTATCATGGAGGAAAAAGATCTTATTATGAGCCATGGCAAAGAGACTCTAATGTTGATTGAAGACTGAAGATGTTTACAATGGAAGATAAACTGTTTTTGTGGTGGCGATTATTGAGCTTTGTATGGGATGCTGGGTTGTGCATCAGCTCACGGATTATTTTGGGAACCACTTTGTTTGATGGAGTCTATATTCTTTATAGGATCGAAGAATTTTAATTGGAGGAATCGTTGACTTATCTATCTTCACATGAAATGTTTAATGAATAGCATGGTTGATACACTCTTAAGCTTGGCTTGCAATTACAGTAATGAAACAAGGCCCAAACGAATTGTAAGTCGACCACCCTACTTTCGGGCCACCCCTATTTTGGGCCACCCTTTTACACCAAAAATCACTTTTTTGGCTTATTAATTTCTCCATCAATATTAAATGTAATTTAATAAAAATTTATATCTATATAATTCAAATTATTTTGAATCCATAATAAAATTTTTACAATTTTAGAATTTTTTTAAATTAAAATCTAGAGCTTTAAAATATCGATTTTCGAATTTGTATAAAAATCATATATAAATTTAAAATATTTATATAATCTTGGATAACTTTTTAATAATAAATATTAAAAAAAAATTATATATCTTTTTAAAGATTTCAAATCTCAATCTATATAGAAATTCAAAAAAAATATTCAAAAAAATAAATAGATATAGAAATATAATATACAATATATTTAAAATAATATAAATAATCTCTACCATTTTGAATATACTCCTTTAAATATTTATTTATAAAAAAATTTCTATTTTCTCAGAATCTTTTAGAATAAATATACTATAAATTTATTATAAAATTTTATAATTTTTTTTTGATTTTTTTTTTAAAAGTTATTAGATTTTATAAAATTTTTATATAAATTAAAAATCGATATTTTGAGGCTTTAGAAATTGATTTATAAAAATCCTAAAAATCTGAAAATTTCAATATAAATTCAAAATAGTTTGAATTATGTATATATAGATTCTTATTAAATTATATTTAATATTAATAGAAATATTAAGAAATTAAAAAAGTGATTTTTGGTGTAAAAGGGTAGCCCAAATGTCACGGCGCCAACTACCTGTTCGTTAGTTGCCTTCGTGCCTAAGGCTCCCACAACTAGTGCACCTTACTTCTTATAAGTAGGGTCCCTTTCTTCTATAATTCTTCTACTCTTATAATATAATATAAGTCTTTACCTGTATCTTAACAATTTGTACTATTTATATAAAAGCTATTACAGCTTTATTTCAATTGAATTCCACCAAAGTTTATCTCGATCATATTAATTATATCTATTACTAATCCGCCACACACCCTAATCACTATTATTCAGGAATTCTATAAGATTATCTCATAATTATAAGAATATTCGAAAATAGCCAATTTAGTATCTACACCTAATCTATTCTTATAGTTTTATTTCTTGAATTATATTTTTAACTCTATTGAAACTAATATTTCCTTATTTATAGATTTGTTTAACAATTTAAACACTGTGTACTTTATAGTTACTTAAATTATATTTGAATTAATTGAATTAATTACAAATTTATTATAAGCTCAAATCACTAATATACAAGCTCAAATTATTAATACTTAATTTAAGATTATTGAATTAAAAAATATAATTGAAATATTAAAAATCGCTATTTATAATAATCTATAAGCCCTGTTTTATTAAAAATATCTTATTATTCCTAAGAAATTTAGTAATAATGAGTAAGATATTATAAAGTATTAAAATTAATATATAATATTCTATAATGTAATCAATTATTATTTAACTATAAACTACAAAAACGAGTTGGAATTCCAAAAGATTATATTCCTTGCTAACTTATTCTCTAGTTTTATTTATACAAATAATTAGATATATTTTAATATAATCACTAATAATCCATATAATTCTAATCTTTAATCTTTTAGATAGCATATTATAGTAGATATCTAATACAAATTAAACAAATAATATCAAACCCTTAATCTCTTTTATAAAACTATTATGAATTATAATAAATATAAGATAAAGAAGATTTTATTTGATAATTTCATTATTAAGTTCAAATAATTTGCTATCAAATATAAGAAAACCATAGAGCAATAAATCACTAATCTCAAACTCAAGATTTCCCAAAAACTAATTAATACTTTAATTAATTATTCTAACAAATCCTTTATTATTAATATTAATATATAAATAATCTGATAGTAAAGTATTTACAATAATTTAAAGAAAAAGATTTATTTTGATAATCAATAAAAGAATCAAGATACTAATTTTAATTATAATCAATCGAATTTCAATTATGATTAATCAAGATCTTATAATAAAAAGCAGATTACTGTTATTACTCCCCCTATACCTAATTTCTTTAGTAATTCTATATAATTAAATACTATTTACTAAAGCTAATATTCTCAATCTTATTATATTCAAAAGTAATATATTAATTTTAATCTTTATTTCTATTATAAAAAATCTAATTATTTTAAAAACAATTATAAAGAGAAATATATTAATAATATAAAGTATAATACTAATACTAATACAAGATATACCCTTTACACCAATTGTTTCCCTATAATCAATCAATATTAAAGCCCCGAATTCTATTGAAATACTAATATTATTAACCCCTTATACCAAAATTTGTTTATACTTATTAATCAATTCCTAATTACTAATATCTTATATTAAGTCCCCTTTCAGACCACTAACCATTTTCTAACCATACCATTACATTATACTTTTTCAATTCTATTCAACTCTATTTAAGAATTTAATTTAAAAGGATATATTAAGAATTCTATTTATTTAAAGAAAAATAAAGGCTTAATTCCCCTATTAAATATATTAAAAGATTAATTTTGATTTATAATCATAAATCAAGATTCTTTATAAAAACTTTATCTTTATAAATTAAAAGATTAATTATATTTAAAGATTCTTTATATTTTAGATTAATAAATAGCAAATCTCTTAAAATCTTAATAGAAATTTCTTTAATACTTAATATAACTATTCTATTTATTAGTTTTATTGATAATAAAGCCACAAGTTATAACTTTATTAATCGAAAAGTTGTTTTTAAATTTTATATATTAATATATCCTTTTCCTTATATCTATTATCTATTTTTAATTAATAAAAAACTCTTTAATATATTATTTCATTATATTCTATTAAATATATAAATCAATAATTATTAAGAAATAGATCTATTCTATATTATAAATCTCTCGAAAAAGAATTCTATAATTCTTAGATTTCTATAACTCTAGTATTATAATCCTTTTATTGATTAAATAATAATAATTCTAAAGTTTATCTTTATATATTATTCTAAATATTATTATTCAGCCAATTCCATTACAACTATTATCCCTAATTATACATTAATCTTAATTAATATTATATTTGATCCTAAGCTAAATTTATTTATTAGAAAATTCGTTTTGAAAAAGTTTATTCTAAATCTATATTAAGTTTTTATAAAGAAAATTATTAATGAAAGTTTTAAAGCTACCTTATTATTATCTTATAATCAATTCATATTCCTTAAACCCATTATTTCTAATTTTATATTAATTAATAAGATTACTTATAAAAGTCCTAAAATTAATTACTAATTATAATTTAACTCAAATCGCTATTATATCCACTAAGAAGATAATAAAATTGAAATTTATATTAAAATAATCCTAAACTGATTAGTTCTGAAATTAGCTTTAGCAAGAATTGTTACTAACTTTAGAATTTATATAAAATCATTATAAAATCAAAACATTCTATTATTATTAAGTATTCCAATAATATCTAAATCCTCAAATAAATCGAATAATATTTTATAAAGTATATAACCAAAAATAGAAAATATAAAGTTTCTTATAGCTTATAGTTTTATTTAATTCTATAAAAAAGACATATATATTATAAAAGTATTATAAAACAAATTAGATAGAGCTTATAAGTTATATCAAATAATTATAAAAAACCCTATTTAATTATATTATAATATTATAAATAATAATATTAATAAATTTATGGAAAAAACTAATTAATCTATATTTATTATAATAGAAATTCAGAATAAATTATTTTTATAACTTTGTAACTTATTTTCTGGTTTTTTATCTTCCCTAGCAAATAAGCTTTTATTATAGTGATTCTAGAATTACAAAATTGAGATTATATTAGGAAAAGAGTTATTTTATAACAAAGGCTATTTAATATCTCTAATTAAGCTCTAAATTATTTATAGATAGTTTAATAATAATCTAAATAAAGGATTTATTTATAAATCTTGTTTTCAATTAATTGTTTTATTTTTTCTAATTATAAAATCAGGGAAAAGTATTTGAATCTATTAAAATTATTATGAATTAAATAATATTATTATTAAAAACTATTATTTATTATTATTAATTAAAGAAATCCTTAATGTCCTATGTTATATTAAAGTTTATATTAAATTAAATATTATTGCTATATTCAATAAATTATAAATCGCAGAAGGCTATAAATGGAAAACTGCTTTCACAATTTACTTCAGTTTATTCGAATCCCTGGTGATACTCTTCGGTTTTTATAATACTTCTATCTCATTCCAGAACTATATCAATTATATTCTTTTTGATTTTCTAGATAAGAATTGTATAGTATATCTAGATAATATCTTAATCTACTCTAAAAACATTATAAATCATTGAAAACAAATCCGCAAAATTATTTAAAGGCTTATCAATATTAGATTGCAAATTGATATTAATAAATACAAATTTGAAACAAAAAAAACAAAGTATTTCAATCTAATTATTATTTTTAATAATATAGAGATAAATTCTAATAAGATTAAGATTATTTTTAAATAGAAATTATTAATTAAATTAAAAAACCTTTAATACTTTTTAAAATTCACTAATTTTTATTAATATTTTATTCAAAACTTTTCAAAAATTATAGAATCTTTAAATTATCTATTGAAAAAAGAGAATATATAGAATTGGATTATTAATCAAA